AACACCGGATTCATAGTAGTTAATTTAGTGGTGATAATATATAAAACATAGGTTGTATGTAAGAATATAGTATAGGAAGGAAGAAAGCTATGAAGCGATTTTAGTATCAAGGTTTAAGGGAAGATAATGAATGTATACACCTACACCATTGTGATCAATTCTGAGCCATGTCACCTAGATAGTTGCGCGGACCCCAGTCAAGTAGTCTGCATCTGCCAACATGGCTCAGACTAGAAGTTAGTGACTTCAGGCACTGATCCCACATTTTGGTTTGTCCGCCCCTAACTCATATTTATAAAATCTAAATTAAATAAGCGAAATATACTGAAATACTTGTGAACTGATTATAGCTACATAAGTAAAGCATAACTGTAATCTGATCAAAAAGTTTATTTTGTAAACTTTCAAATAATCCATCAATCAGTGACTTTCAAATATCTGAACCTATTGGTGATGTACAAAACATCTTATAATCTTGTTTATCTTATATTGAATTTTGACACATAAAAATTAAATGAACATAGTAACGAAATGATTCTTTACAGATTATTTATACACGTTTTACAATGAATATTCTATTATCAATCAAGAGTGTTGATGATAAATGATTTAACATGATTGATAGACGTAGGTTTATTTATGGAAATATTAATTAAGGTAACCATATTCAAGAATAAAAATGAAGTAAAGTTTTTATAGCATAAAATTGACAGTTTGCATACTAATGATTATTATTATTATTGTTGCAAAGTCATACGTTGTCAACAAATGTGAAAAATAGAAATTTTTTATTTATTTTATTTAAACACATAAATATCGGTACAATAAAGCACCAAATAGATATGCGCCGCACAAATCTCATTTGATTTGTGTGAGGGTTGTGATACTACTCAGGTGCCCAAACTGAAGCAGGTGGTTTTCTTAGGGGACCACACCCCGAGCCTTTGACCTAAAGGTTTGATCCACAAAGCAGTGGAGCATCGTGAGGAGATGCAGTCCCATGGTAGCCGGTGACCAACGATTGAATCATACGCGATTTGTTCCCTCAGGATACTGGAGCCCATGGACACCATTGGTTTGGAATCAGGGTTTTCCAACCCCCCTAGGTAGATTTTCCGTGTCTATTAACCCGGTTAAAGCGCTGGACATTCGCTTTCCGTTCTCTCAATTTCGTAAACAACACCCCCGCCACGAGAAGGCAGTGAATAGGACTTCCCTGGCAGAGGCTATGTGAGAGCATTTGGAGACAGAGCGGACTCCCCCCACTCTCAGCCGTACCAGGGCATTTGGGGGCTCTGTTTATAATAAAGAATATAGTAATTTTTAGTTGATCAGATCCACAGTGAAAGATTAAGTTATTAAAAGCAGCTATAAATATTTAATTTAGTTAAGTATAATGGATGTTACTATGGAAAAATATGTCTCGTTCTTTAAGGAATATTACTTAGAGGCTATTTATTACATTTTCTAGTATGTGGGCCTGAAAATAGAGGTTATCGAACGGCCAACGATTACCGATTTATCAATTCAATCGATTGATCACGTACTCATTTACTCATTAAAATGAATAACACGTGAATAAACTAATGAAGAACAAATGGTTGCCATGAAAATAATTTATTCTCATGTCTAAAATGTCACCCACACTAGTAACTTGATTACAAATAGAACAGTGACTAAATTGAACTGCAACAATCGATCTGGACAGTCTAAAACAGTGAGCAGTATAGGAATTTTAGTCAATTCACTATATAAAATTCTCTCTATCTAAGATTCATAAAGCTATAGCCGCAAATCAACTCCAATATAATGACAATGACGTTAGTGAATTATGGGTCTTATTTAACTTCGTTTACAAAACAACCAATAAGATTAAAATGACTCGTCTATCCAAAGTAGAATAGACTCATATAGGCACCGATACAAAGTAAAACCAGGAAAACCCATACATTAATCCGAGCCTTAGGATTATCATCAGCACAATGGTGGATAAAAACAATAAGACCTAGATGGAAAATAATGATGGTCGGAGGGGTAAGGAAAAAAGATAATTAAAGTAATCCAGCGAATGTACAACTGGAGGATACGAATACATATTTCCAGTTGTTTCTCAGTAAAGTTGAAAAGTTTACTAAGAATAATGGATATATATATATATATATATATATATATATATATATATATATATATATATATATAAAGCAATCCATGAAGACCAAACTGAATTTCTCTAACTACAATATAAAACCTTGTGACAAATCAATAATAATTGTTATTTACTCAAATAATGTTTTCTAATTAATTGAAATTGAAATATAAAAACTTCAAAAGTACAAACATTATTATCTGGAATTAAATATCGGATGAAGAACGTATCTAACCGATATTGCAACATATTATCGAAACTATTAAATGGTAGTGGAGTAAAGTTGTCACATGGATTCTAAATAGAGAACCCAAATCTTTATACATGATTCAGATCAGTAGTGAAGGAAATGATGAATTGGTCCTAATTTCTTGATTTGGTTATTCGCGCTTTTCAACCAAATATTTTTGTACTGGTTTGTGAACCACGTTAAGATAGACGGAGGTTGAGTACAAAAATCCCAACAATCTTAGTCGACCAGGTTTCATTTTATAAAATAATTTATCCCATTTATTTGATTTATTTAAGAAGCACTTACTTACTTACACCTGTTACTCCCAATGGAGCATAAACCGCAGACTAGCACTCTCCAACCCACTCAGTCCTGAGCCTTCCTTTATACTTCTATCCAGTTGTTTACTCTTCTCATGTATGTTTTCATTTCTCGGCGTAATGTGTTCTTAGGTCTCCCTCTTTTCCTTTGACCCTCAGGATTCCATGTGAGGGTTTGCCTTGTTACGCAGTTGGGTGCTTTCCTCAATGTGTGTCCTATCCATTTCTTCCTCCGCTGAATTCTGGTTTGTTCTCTCCCACAGTAGAATGTTGGTGATAGTGTCTGGCCAACGGATCGGAAGTATTTTGCATAGACAACTGTTAATAAACACATGTATCTTCTGGATGATGGCTCCCGTAGTTATCCAAGTTTCCGCCCCATACAGCAGAATTGTCTTGACATTTGTATTGAAAATTCTGATCTTCGTATTGGAGGAACTACAGGCGGAGTTATTTAAGAAGCACTATTTTAGCAAAATTAATAATACAAAATAAATTCCTTATACTTGATCAATAAATATGTGTTTACAAACTTATGAATGAAATGGTGGAGATTTGTAGCTCAGGTGGATAATTTTTGTGGAGTTTCGTTCTCTGAGGTAGATGGTTTGGTCGTGGAACCTTCATCGTTCTTCTGAACGACATCATCAGCACAAACTTCAGACAGAAGTGAAATGTTCGAATTTCCTCACATATGGTTCACAGTTTGTGCTGTACACCTCGATGTTGATTGGTTCTTGTTGACCTTGAACTTGTCATTGTCTTGGTTGTATTTCCCGTTGGTTTGATTTGTGGTCCTATGTTTGTCCATAATTTTCCTGGTTGCTTGATAAATTGGATCGATTTCAATGTGTTTATTTATTGCTGATTGACCTTAATGCCAAGCTTCTAAAAATTCTTAGGTGTTTTTGGAGTTGCCTCTATCCTAAATCTCCAAATTTTTCCAATCGAATGTATGCCCGTGCATTGATATAAGTGAGTAAATGTCGTGGCGTTTGACTGCTAATTGATGTTCATTCAGACGATGAAGAGGACGCCCGCTTTATCCGATGTAGTGTTTTTTGCAGTCAGAACAATTTATTTTGTAGATGATGTTCGGTTTGTCTTCTTTCGTCATTTCATCCTTTGGTTTGCATTGAATTGTTTGTGTGCAACATCTATACCGAAGGGTTCTAGAAATCTAGGTCGTAGTTTCTGATATGCTTTTTGTGCATGGTAGGGTGATCGGTTTGTTGATTTCTGTACTTGACTTTGTTTCTGGTGAGTGCGGTTGGTATTTTTTGATGAAGTTGGTTGGGTATCCGCTCTTTTGAAGGCTAGTCTTCATTTATCAGCCCCAACTTCTTGTTTGCTCTTGATGATATTTTTACGCTGTACACTTTACTGTGAACCTCATAATAGGCATTATTCACTATAAAATATGTAGGAAAATGGATAACAATATATCTTATTAACGTTTAAGCTGTAATTGTGAATCAAAATGAAATTACTGTGTTTCTTTATTCATGGATATAGAACCCTAACTGAATACCCTTAAAACATACAAGTTAGGACATGAACTACAAATTTCATCAAACCTACTTTCTTGAAGTGATAAGATATTGAAGAATTACATGATGTATTTATATTTTTGTTTTTCAATGCATTGTGGTGGAATCCCATAAAGAACTATTATGTTAACTCTCAGAATATTTATTTAAGCTTATAAAAAATAAACGATACATCTGTGTCCATACGCTTTTCCCGTACGAGTTAGGCATTCTTAACACACATTTATGGGAAGGATTCACTGTAGTAACACTCTAGATGCGAACTTGCTAGCTGGAACATCTACAATGGATTTAATCAATGGTTGCGGATGTCTGGGATCATGGACAAAGATCGGTCGCTATTTAAGTCATTCTGTATCTGCCTTTAAATCGTAAGCCTACGTTTTTATTATACAGTCTTGCTTCTTTTTAATCGAATTGAAACTCACCCCTCTTCTGTTTCTCACTTTACTAAGCTGCTCTCTCTCTGCTAACTTGTCGGAACTTAGACTGATGAACATGAACCAGGTGCTACACTGACGGTGATAAATAATATCTTGAATAAGGTTTTGGTAGGAAGATAGTAACAATCACCTGTTAGCATAATCGTAAACATGTACTAACTACACACTTTGAATTCTAGTACTGATTATTCGATCATAAGGTAATTAGATCTCAAAGATATAACATCTTAGCAAGTTTAGGTAAAACAACAGATAAACCTAACCAATAGCGCAATCGGGAATTCTAACTAATTCAATTCAAAATGAACGTTTGTTATGTATAAGTTTATTCATTATTTATAGGACGGAATTATGTAATATAGAAAATATCAAAACAAAAAGTACATTAATATCAAATCTCCCTAAAATAATATGAACTCTTATTCCCAAATCTGCAACTACGGACCACATTTAGTGAATAAACATACTACATAAAACTTGTAGACACATAGGCGAACAATGAAAAAGTAAAAATGATAGGGAAGTATTGAAGTAATATCACAGATAAAACGGAGTCATATTACGGACTAATAATACACTGAAAAGGGATTATAAAAATACAGGTTAAATTAGCAATTACTTTTGATATCCAAAATACGGATAAATGATTAGCAAATTTTACTGTCGGACCGCATAATGTTTATTTACATAGGCGACAGGACGAAATATTTTTTGTCATAAAAGTTGAATTTTTAAAAAACTATACGGTATACAAAATAAAAAGACAGAATCACTTAAAATCATCTTAATGCGCAGAAACATAAGATGAATGCATTGACAGATGAGGTCTTCCAGGTGCACCTGTACCGGAGCCAGCTGCAGAAACTAACAACGCTGCATTGGAAACTGTATTGTTTGTTAAGAAATCAGCGTAAACAACCCGGATAAACAGAACAATATTCATAACCATTAACACGGCAAGGCCAACTGAGCCAAGGCAGTAGTATCCGAATGGAACTCGATCCCGATTAATGACGATCCAACGAGTCATCCAAGATAATACCATGAAACGGAACACAATGAATGAACCTGTAAAGATTTTATTGAAACAACTTACGAACAGTAGGAAATTTTAGAAATATTTTACTCTTAGATGGCCAGAAAATATATATGAAGCTTAGTATGTACTGTCAAATTACTGAATTAAAATACCGTACATGCATTGCTGGAATAACCCGTTCAAACAATCTGACGCGAAAGTGAAGTTGTTCCGAACTATTCCTATCTGTTTCAAGATCGGAACACTGCTGGCTTATCTGCTGTCAGACAGTAAGAAACCAAGGTTCAAAACACGAAGATTTATGGAACAATGTTTTTTTACACAAACAAGAGAAGACAACCGGGAGGAAGCAATGATGTACCATTCAAATCACGAAGTATTGCATTCCACCTGTGGTCAACACTAGTAAATATCAAACAAGTGTTGAGCTGTAAATGAAACTTTATTCCCTTTAAGACAGAATATTAAACAATAGTTCATATTTTTTAAGAGCTAAGAGACTGTGCGTTATGGAAGTGATCGACTTTTGAAATGAGGACCCTTGTAAATCATGGTGGTTGATGAAGCAGGAATAACAGACATCCAGTGTTTGGTGAACATCCGAGACTATTATGGTCAACATAACTTTCAGTGAGTATTATTAAACTCGGTAAGGCAAGTTATTATTTGTATGTGCATATTCTACGGGGGTAACGGTATAATACCAACCTATACGTGACTGAACCTTACATCTAGTGGGTTATTTTTGTGGAGGAAACGCAGTATTGATAGACTTCTAAATATAGATATTGTATGCATAACTTGTTCGCTATCATAGGTTTCCATTCATAGTTAACCAAACAAGCTTGTCAGCAATCAACTTTATAGTGGCTGTAACATGTGTGATATATCGTCGGATTTTTTTGAAAATCATGCACTATAGAGATTGTGAAATCCCCAGGTACGACTTTCAAGTTGACAGATCCCACACGAGTCTCTCTGTAATGTCCGAAGGTACATCCTGTAGAGTCATCTGTTTTAGATCCTATAACTTTTACCACTTCTTTATCGACCTACTGCAACATTGATATCTTTAAGTAGTCATTATTATTTGTTGGGGAGTTAACGGCCAATTCGAACAACTCCACTTTCGCGTAGGATCGCTTAGACATATTCTTTCGAAATTCAGTTTATTTATAACAAAAGCGGCGAACATGTTTTATGAAGTGACTAGGAAATTTATTTCACTAAACAGACAGGAAAAATGTGTTTATCTTCTCACCATTATTTGGATGTTCAGATTACTGAGTATACAAAACTAAAGTGAAATGATGACTAATGGTTGATGCATCAGTCAAGGTCGTAAAACCTCTGTTTGAGGTGAAACATGCGATTTATCCTATGAGCCAAGACAATTAAATCTGATACCAGCTGAAGGACAGGTAGTGACACAAAACTTGTATATATTCACTAACCAATGAACTGGTCAAGAAAGCGGAAACTCGTAATAATAAGAGTAAATCAAAATTATTGAAAACTAACCAAACTGCAGAACTAAAAATCCGTTTCTGTTTTGCAAAACAGGCAGTTAGCCATCAAGAAATACATTTTACTTTACTGTATTTCATTTGTCGATGCATAGTGGTTTGGTGATAAATGTTAACCTTTCGCATACCGAAACGCAGCTAAGATCTCACTCAACACTCTAGTTATCAATAAGACACAAAGTCAGGAAATATTTGGATGAATGAAACTTATGGTTTGTGGTTTCACTATTGAGTACCAAACCCTTGGGATGTTGTCAGATCTTGTGGTGCGAATGAGTCTCAGAATCTACTAAAGCCAAAGCCGACGAATTTAAGGACAAGGTCTTCCTAGGACTGGTTATTTGAGAGAACATTCTAAGCACTAAGATTTCATAGTTTTGGACTGAAGTTTTGTTTCCAGCATTTCATTGTGTACAATGAGAACTATCTACAAGAATATTGGGCCACCACCTACCTGACGACAAGTAAGTTGTGATGGGGCGACTTTGGCGATTGACAAAGGAATGTTAAAAGCCAAATGTTAATGGCATGTGATCCACGTGATGCTTGAATTTTATACGTTTTCTTCGGATTTTATATGAAATTTCATCTGTTTTTCTTGCCTGGGATTTATTATTCTTCAGTTGCTAATACTAACTTGTGCAAGATGTTCTACAAAATCAGGTATAAAAGTCACTGCTTACAGTATCGTGTAAAAATCAAGGTTTACAGAAATCACGATCGACTATAAAGCGTAAACTCACTGATGTTTAACAAACAAGTGGCACGAAAGAAGGGATTTCTTTTAGGCACATGTAGATAGTTCATTGCCCTTCGCAGGTGCAAGAAGATTGAATTAACTTCAGGAAGAAGCGAAACAACAGCATACCCGATATAGTTCCCGGATAATAATGCAGATGAGAAGCACAAAAATATCTACAAATGACTACGAATACACATGCTTACGACAAAGTGATGCACTAACAACTCAGCTGTGGATCGATAAGGATGCAGGATAGCCATATGTACGGAATCAAAAATGAAGTAACCTGAAGCATATGAAAGAACAAGCTACACTACCAAGAGAGTAGGATACCAGGGAAATAGATCGCCCTGTAGACAGGTTTATCAAGTCGGTCAAGAAGTCGGGTTCGAAGTAGAACCTAGAAGAAATGAATTACCACTCGAGATACCCACGTTGATAAGGACCAAATCCCTGATACGAATGCGTGCACAAAAGATACACACGTATTTTGCCAAATAAAATTTTGCCTCTGAACATATTTTGGCTTTGCTTCTTGATTTGCAGACAGTTCATGACGAAAAGGGTTTAAACGTTTCGCGATTTTGTCCACTAAAGCATGTACAACGACGGAAGACAGCAGAGCAAACGCGGAAACAGCAAACATGGACAAGTATGGTACAAAGGTCGATGATCGCCACCCTGTAATCAAAATACATAAACAAAAATTGTGATTAGTGTTCCACAAGAAATATACCTTATTATAGGCAACCTAGTATCGAAATATTAAATATTGTTATTAAAGTATGTTTCAGTCATTGAGTGACCATTTATTATTCTGAACTATATTAACCAACAGATTCTTAAGTCCAGAAATACAAAATCGAATACTTTTTAAGTTATACAGAAAAGATTTCGAGGCTGATCTTTGCATACTGAAAACACAAGTAATCAGTGACTTCTGATTTGACTGAACTGCCATCCCTTGAATGCAAAGGTGTTACAGACTAAAGTGTCGCCAGACACTGAGTATCTGTGGACATGTTGGTCCCCTTTACAGCATCTGAAGTTTGAATGCGCTTAATTCCGTTAGCCATCCTTATATCGTGTTTGAGAACTATCACCCACCTGAATGGCTCGAAGAGATACAACAGAGAAGTAGTAGAGAGTCTCCACAATAATAAATATCTATGACGCTTTGTAGCTTCATGATTATACTGTAACCTTATGGAACATTTTGTTATCATATTGAATATTAGGATTTACACGTTTGTTGTTGTCATAACGTCAGCAGTAGTTGATTAATCATGACCATCCTTAAAATCTAGCTTGTTGGCTAGTGAGTACCAGCCCACTTTGGTATCTGGCAATGCAACTTCTTTTGTGTCAATACGGAGTAAACGTAACATGATCGTCGTAATTCCTCGTATTAGGTAGAACAGGATAAAATAGCACAGAGTATGGGCGCCTTGCTTCATGGGGTGATCAACGGTGGAAAACTGGTAGATTAGTGTTAGTAGTCATAAACCTTGACTACATTAGCCAAATTGCTTAATTACGATTCTGTGTAACATAAAATATCGTCAGTTTGAGAGTCTAAACTAATTCTTAATAGTACTAATATTCGTACGCATAGTGTTTTAAAATGTATCATATTCACCACGAAAACGCACCCAAACTTATTTAATATCCTGTTCGGTCTTCATACTGGAAGATAACACTTCTTATTCAAGCATCCGCGAAAAGCTCAAATGGTTCGTATCTAACCCCAATATAGTGCCGTAGATGAGTTGGCTGCTCCTGCCAACAAAGTTCTGGAGGTGACTAGATCCCCTAGCATCGAGGTGTCATGGTATGGGCTTCTAACCACACGATCTTTGGAGCCGAGTATATAATTATTGAGAAGGTTTACATACAACATGTAACACTCGAAGGTTCAAAAATGGTGAACATGGGAAAAACTGCTCGGTATGGCATGACTCGGCCATGTAGGCATAATTACCTCATGTAACCTCTAGCTTTCGTATTGAACAAATTTCTGTCTATCCACACCAAAACGTGTTCTTCAAAAGAGTTAGGCGTTATATTGCCGATTTTCACTACGAGACGACGTAGTGTAAAGAATGCTGTTACTTTCACGCGATATCTTATGGTCTAGGTAGTCACATCATGGCAAATTCACAATTTTGGGATTAGAACTATTATTAAAATAAAAACGATATATGAAAATCTCCACTCCTTTCAGTACTTCCTATCAAGTGTACTGCGTTTAGAACCAAATGGATATTTGTGCGTTGCACCTGAATTAACTAGGAAGAGAGCGACGGATTGTGACAGTTGGATCTACCACATAGTGGTTCAACCTCGGTATAACTGTGGTTTTCAGATTCGTGATTATGAATATCTACCGGTTACACTCCAAAGTGAAGCAAACAAAAAGGAATTTCAGAAGTATAGGTACTTCCAATCAGTAGTATTGTAACTGTAAAAAAATCACCAAAACAAATGGCTTTGTAAGTGTTTGACATTGGATGCTGACCACATTAGTTTTAATGGAATCAACTAGCTGAAGACTCACGGTCATGCATACGTACCAGATCACTGTTTGGAACGGCGTTCTCAACGTCTCCTGCGATCATTAGCCAGATTAGATGTAACTTCTCGATATATTGATAATCCATCAAATATATCCTCTAACCTTCTCGCTTCTGACTTATGATTTCACTGAGTGGGCGCGATTCAATTATAGGTGTTGCTGGTAAAGTGTTATCAAACTACAATACCTGAGGCATCATCATTAGTGAGACCGACGTGATCTGGTTCACCAACAAATAAACTATGTGTCTGTTCCTTTTTGAAACTTCACAAATCATTGCTTTGCTTTGTTTTCTATATGTCGTGATATATTTTTCGTATTTTTGCGTACTTTTCCCTCGCTCATCCTTATGCTTTAAATTCGCCATGACAGAACAGACTCTTAAGCTACTTAAGATCAAGACTCTTACACTACCCTCGTTTCAGCTAACATAGAAGAACACTGCTACGCGGTGGCCGGTTTCTACGAGCAGGGCATAATTGATCCACGAGCACACTTCCTCGCGGTTGTAAAGGCACTACCGAGCGATTTCAACAAGTATACCACACCTAATGTGTTTACTAGTGATGTTTCGGAACCTTACAAAGCCCTGAAACGGTCGATTTTGAAACGCGGAAATCTAACCGATCAACAAAGGTTGGATGAACACCCGAATAGTATCGACCTGCAATGTGGTTCTGCAACAGACATGCTGCTAAGGATGAGAGAAGTTATCGGCCAAAGAACTATAGATGATGGCCTATTCAGACAACTTTTCTTGTCTAAACTCCCTCATCCGACCGCATCCTCGAAATCACGAAGGTTTCTAATGTCGAGGTATTTTCATTCAAAGAAAAACGCAAAGAGAAAAAGGATGACATTTTGGATCTATGTCACACACTGACACGTTTCTTTCGATTTCGTAATGACCGTGAACGAGTCGCAAACCCCTCTAAGAAACCCTTCACGTAGGCGATCTGTTTCCAGACGGCGAAATACAGATAAACCCGACTGGTACTGGTATCATAACCAGTATGGAAAGTCTTCAAAAACTGCAGAAAACCCTGCAATTACCCGAACCTAAAATCGACTGACACAAGAAAACAATTCTGGAAACGTCCCAGCCGGTACGTGTTGGCGGCGACCGTAGCCGGCGAACATAGCCACCTTTTATACATCACAGATGTGATCACGAAAGTTCGCTACCTTGCCGATACTGTCGCAGAAGTGAGTGTTCTTCCTGCTAATGTTAACGACAGGCTTTATGAATCTGTTTTAAACTTACAGGCGGCAAATGGAAGGCCAATCGCCAAATATGGTAAAAGGGACGTTTATATTAACGTGGGTTCACGCGAACCCATTCAATGGATTTTCGTGGTTGCAGATATTTCTATGCCAATGATGAGTATAAACCACCTACAACATAACAACCTACTCATTGATACGCGAGAACGAAGGCTGGTAGACGGAAACACTAATTTGTCTGTTCGCGTAACTTCATTTTCCGGTTGCAGATCATTCCCATTCGCTATCATGCACAAAATAGACGCATACTATCAACCATTACTCGATAAGTACTCTGGGATATAACAACTGCAACCGAAGTAGCCGTATGTAACCAGTAATGTTACACATAACACCAACACTATAGGACCACCTATATTTTCGACTGACTCCCGAAAAGCTGGGGTTGACTACAAATGAATTTAACCACATAAAAGAGTTAGGAATCATTTGATTGTCAAAGAGACCATCGGTATCTCCACTGCACATGGTCCCTAAAAAGGACAGCAACGATTGGCGTCAAACCGGTGCTTATCGGCACTTGAATGCCAAAAATATTCGCGATCGTTACTCGTTGACTCACATTCACGAATTGACAACTACCATAAAAGGTGAAACTGTCACTCCAAAAATGGACTTGGTTGCAGCCTATAACAAAATACCGATGGCTACTGACGATATGGTAGAAAATGCCATGATATCGATATCGTACATACGTATGTTGATGACGGCTTGAAAGCAAGTCTCGATGGAGGATAGCATACAACTAGGAACATTTTCTTTTCTATTAAACACAACGTGAAAGAAGTGTAATTTTTTACCGAATTCCCCCACACATGAATCTGATTCCTGAGTGTATTTTGTTAAATCGCCCTAACAAATTTTTTCTAATGTTCTGATCAACGATAATGAAACTGTCATCAATGAGACGGCAATAAGAGTCAAGTTTATCAATTACTTCTTTGAGAGAGGTTCGATTACTAGTTCTGCGAGAAAAAAACTAAGTAAGAATAGAACCTAAAGGTCAACCCATTGCTCATTTACTGGATAAAATGAACGTGAAACTGGTTAAACCAAAAACGTCAGGATTTTGAAATGGTTGACTCGAGATTTTTGTATGAAAAAAACTAAGTGTACGAAAAATCCTTTATTTAATCTATGTCCACGCTATCTTTTCCTGATGGGTTACTTGAAAATTAATATCTGGAATTACAAAACAGTTTGTCATATAAAATGAAACATCACATCCATCTGCCATGCATATAAGGACAGATGTATCTGGCTGTAGGCCAACTTTTATCAAGCTTTGAGATTCCATGTCTGGGTATATTTGTTTTGGTGACAAAACAGATAAAACATAATCAGGATGAGGAGGGGAGCGTTTAGAGAAGTTAATAATACGTCTTTTCTCTGCATGATTGTTTCCATAAATATCATACAGTAGATTTATATCGTTCGTTGATTGAATAGACTTATCACAGGCAGGTTGTACAATCTCTTGCAAATTATGCATAAGACTAGTGATAGGATGTATTGCATTACGATCAATAAGTGGTTGAAAGTCTTTGAACTTTCTCTTTCTATTAGGTTTTCTACATTCTTGGTTTAAAAGTGGATAAGTCGTAATCGAAACGTCAATTGATTTTGGAATTCTAAATAATTTACCTGTCATACTGTGGTAATATAATTCCAGAATTTCTAATTAAATAACGTTTGTAATGTCATTTATAAATGACATTAAAACGTTTTGGAAATGATTTGGAAAGACTGTGCACTTAAACAAATTTGCTGTTAATGTTACGTGCAAAACAATGTTATGCCCACCTCACAAACATAATAACCGTTTTACATGACTGCGTACATAAACAAGTATTTCTGGTGATCAATAATAAGTGGTCAACAACAAAGAATATACAGACCAAAATATTTTGTGCTTTAAATGGATTTACAAAAAAACAATAACAATCTTGTGATCATTTACGACACCCTTTTTAAAGCCAAACTTAACAGCTTTTCGTATTAGGAATCACGGTTTGCAAAATAACCCAATTATCAAGATTATTCGCTTTTTTCTCAGAAATTATTACTAATTTCAGATAGCGTGAAAGTTGCTTCATTTACCCATCGTTTACGGTTAGCGTGATTTCTGTATGCCCCATTCATTATTTCTTCATCATGATTTATTCATACGTTGACACACATATGACGTTTATTAAAAGAGCGAACTATGAGTTAAATCAACTTATGGGAATAATTAGACGAAAATTTGTTTACTAGTTGTGTATTAAACATTTGACTACCTTTCAAATTCAATAATCATCATTATCATCTATTAAAAATAGCTGTCAGTTTTATCACAAATTATCTTTCAGTGATCTAGAAATTATTGCTCTTGCCACGATAACTGACAACTTCGTTTGCATTTCTACATGACTGAAAAAACATATCCCGATGTGCATTCACTGACAGGAGCATAGCAGGGTAATCAAAGGATTTGCTTCGCGACGTTAAAATATTTTCCAAAACTCAGATGGAACAGTCGGAAATAATTAATTATTGCATATAAAAAACGGGTGTAAAATGTCAATTCTCACAACCAATCAAAGCAATCTATGCTATTTCGATTTGAACGAATCAGACTACAAAGCTGCACCGTTTACAGCCAAATAAAAAATTATGTGACAAAATGTTTGTTCATTTTCAGTTGGGCACACACTTTAGAAAACAAGTTCACCAATCACCAATCGCTAAATTTTCTTCACATTTTCAAATTTCGAATAAAATGGGTGGTAGGGGATCATGCGTACCGTGAAATTAATGTCAACCACATACATGTGTTTCGTATAACCATTTTCGCATGATAATTTGCCGGCCTTTGTTGAGAAAGGAAAAAATATGCACTAATAAACAAGCATATTTGCAACACAAAATGTTCTGCTTTCTCGGAATAAAAACAATGAATATATATAAGCATATTAAAAATAGTATGTTGGCATAATAATACAATAACAATCGAGACGAAACAAAGTGTTATGTTGTGTCTTATGTCCAATAATCCTTTCAATGTCCACTCTTCTTCCAGAACGCATTATTTTGTGACGGCGGTCAGATACCACCGAAGTTTCACCATGACCGTTGATTATCGGGTGAGATATCATAATTGTAGGGCTTGTTTCGTTCGATTGTACCAGGGAGAAGTCAATATTATTAGGGTCTCCTTCTAGATACGCGGCTTTGAGACAATCGATACTGATGCTATCGTTAGCGCCGTACTTATTGACGATATATTACTTAAGTTCACGCTGAAGAGCTTTGAAGGGTCCTTCATATCCTGATTTGAGGGGTCGTCGATGTGAGTCTCGACGTACAGAGACATGTACACTACATCGTAAGTCAGGTTGAACGAAAACATCAGCTGATTCAGGTCGAGTAGAGACAGGTATAACTGAACGCATGGCATTTGTAAGCCTGCTCGTGTAGGAGTTTAGATCCATGTTCATTGGAGGAGGTGAAGTATCCACTAATCCTTCTGTAAGTCGGAGTTTCATTCCATAAATGAGTTTATCTGCAGTGTATCGAATGTTAGCCTTCACTGCAATGCGAATACCTAGCAGGACGAGAGGAAGAGCGTCGGTCCACTGTGAAACGTTTGCAGCTGATAGTGAAGCTTTTAGTTGTATGCGAAAGCGTTCTACCAACCCATTTGCTCGTGGGTGGTAGGCTTTCGTTCGGAAGCGAGTGATTCCTAATAGTGTGGTCAGACAACAGAAAGGTTCACATTCAAACTGGCGCCCATGGTCTGTAGTGATTTTTGAAGGACAGCCAAAATTCGATACCCATCGTTTGACGAAGATGAGGGCCATTGTTTCAGTGGTAATGTCTTCTATGGATAGTGCTTCTGACCATCGAGGGAAACAGTCTACACACATTAAGAGGTAAGAGTATCCGTTTGAATCTAATAAGGGTCCAACCAAATCTAGATGAACGTGGTCGAAACGAGTATCAGGAGTTTTGAACGAGCCAAAGGGACATTTGTTGTGTCTAATCACCTTAGATTTTTGATAGCTTACACAGGAGTTTGCCCACTTCCTCACGTCTTTATTCATACCAGGTCAACAAAATTGTTCTGTTTTGAGCTTGATGGTCGCACGAACACCTGGATGAGAAAGTTTGTGCAACGTAATGAAGACGTTGCGTCGATAGTGTTTCGGCACGACTGGACGATCCTTACCTGTAGATGTGTCACATAGTAAGGTTTCCTTCCTTACTTCCATCTGTTTGATGCACAGTTTAATGGTTGTCGAGGGTAACTCGTGCTGAAGATCAATGTCCTCTTTTTGAAGCTGGGCGAGTTTAAGATGGTCGATTCCTTGGAAACTGTTCAATGAAGTTTTACGAGACAAGGAGTCCGCAAATACATTGTATGCTCCAGAAATGTGTTGTATATTTGAAGCAAACTGCTAAATGTAGTCCAGTTGTTGAGATCCACTAGGTGAGCATTTGTCTGAAGATGAGCTTAAAGAGAAGTAAGGGGTTTATGATCAGTAAAAAGGGTGAATTTTCGGCCTTCGATAGAGTGTTGAAAATGTATAACACAATACATAGCTAGGAGTTCCCTACCGAAAGTTCCTATAAGCAGCCATCAACATACGCATGTATGAAGTTGAGACCTTGAAAAGCGTTATCTATGAATCTTTGGAAGGTTTGGGAAGCATTTCTTAGGCCGAAATGCATTCGCAAATATTGGTAGAGTCCGAAGAGGGCGATGATTTACCGCTACAACGGCGTTCCCACTCGTGATATGGTGCGGGTGCGTGACCGAGCACCTTCAGCTAGTTGAATCCATCAAAACTATTGTGGTCAGCATACAATGACGAACACTTACATAGCTATTTATTTTGGGGATTTATTTACCGCTACTTAATCCACGTTATCTTCCTGGATATTGTTATCTCGAAGTAATTGTTCCTAATTTTTTGCTTTCCCTGGATAGTTCTCATTCACATATGTGATTTAATGCATTATATTACAATGACCTCACACAAGCCCTAATATCTCCATATGGGTTTACTTACGAATTCAACTACATTAGGATTTGAGGAAACTGATCAAATGGAAATTTACGATATCTTCAATGGAGATAGAAAACTCTACGTTTGACGCATATTTGACAATGTGTTCTCTGTAAAATGTATAAAGCGATATTCGAAACACTTCAGTGAGACTAATTTGTGGACGACCTTCGAGTGACACTAAAATGACCTTGAGTGTGTTGACCAAATAACTAGGACCAAATGAGGGTTATAAGGCAGTGTAAGGAATTAGAATTATAGTCTACAATTGATGGCTAAGGTGAGGAATTATATTTAGGGTTTTCATCACAAAGTGACATCAACTGTAATGTCAAAACTATTTAACCAAATGGATAAGTGAATTTCGCGCCAAAATCAGAAACCTGTTATCTTATACCTGATTGGTTTGTCCGTAGATAATGGCCTCGCCGAATGGTATGGCAGGTATAATCGACTTTGATCGAGAAACCTAACTTTTTAAGAAGGTGAGTTGCGATCAGGAAATTTTAATGCCGAATGGATCTCCTTATAAAATTGGGTACTAGTTACTCTGAGAAACATCTTGTGGGATATTATAGTTTACCAAATTGATGTAGACTATGGATTTCACACAGTCTAAAGGAAAATGCCACTCTAACAATTGTTTTTGCCATTATATTGCCGAAAATTCTTATATTCCCCAAAGTTCGATCACAAGCCTGTTAGTTCGTTATTTGGGCAACTTTTATTTGACATGTTTTAAAAGTCAGAGATGACTGGCTATAATCCTACATAATGTACTTAACAATAAGAGGCGGCAGCTAAAACCGTTTGTTAAAGTAATTATAGATTGTGATTGTTATTCTGAGTGGTACCAAGATTCCAATTCCTCCACCTGCTTTTTGGCAAGCAGTAAATGAATGTACAAAGCCAAGGTAGATCTTCGGCACTTGTTTGACGTCCTTAGTTTATAATTTATATGATGTGAAGGAATTTGAGTTCTCTATACAACCTGTGCAAATTTTAATTTATGTATCGTCTGAACTGTATGTACACTCTTCTGTCCTACCTCAGACGTTACACGGTTCCAATATTTTGCTAAAGTTCTTCTTTCGGGGTAATAGTGTAGCGGTTTTGGTTACCACTCGAGAATCAGCTCATAGAAATATGAGTAACGGGAGTCGGGGTAGCTTTAAGGTTAATCTCCATCTCTGGCTAATTTATTTGATATGAAACAGTTAATCAGACAGCGGTACAAAAATATACGCTTGTAGAAAATTTAGACCGAGCAAACATACGTAGTTACTAAATTTACTTACTTAATCTTGTTACCCATCAAATGGTTGAGGACGGAATAGAAGAAGCTTTCGCTTAACGGGCTTCCGTGTCTGGTAGCAGTGAATCACCAATACCTCCAGGCAAGAACCTAGGTATATGAACGATAATAGAGGGAAAAAAAGAATTTGGTAAATCATAATAATATGTTATCCTTAGTCCTTAAGAAGAAGTCAAGTTTTCTCTTAAAGGACTCCTGGGAGGTCGCTTGGACTAGCTCAGTCGGCAGCGAATTCCAGCACTTGACAACTCTAACGGAGTAGAAGTTGTGTCTGCAGTCTGTTCTGCTATGTAGGGTCTCCAATTTCTGGGTGTTACCTCTGAGGTTAGTGTTATGACTAAGCTTAAGAAGTTGTTTAAGGGGATGACCAGAAGTATTAAGGATACTATAAGTCATAAGAAGATCACCTCTAAGACGCCTATACTCTAACGGGTAAAGGTTAAGTGATTTGAGGGGCTCTTCATAAGGTTTTAATTTGAGACCTCGAACTGATTTCGTGGCTCGACGTTGTATACGTTCCAGAGTGACCTTATCCTTTTGGAGGGAGGGAGGAAATACTATGTTTCCGTACTCTAAGTGGGGACGAATAAAACTGTTGAAGATTATGTGGAAGGTTCTACCGTCAAACTGGCCAAAAATGCGCTTCAATGTTACCAGTGCAAGGTTTGCTTGAGAGGCGTTTTTGTCACAGTTCGCATACGATTTCAGGTCGTAGGGTACCAAAACTCCCAAATCTTTTTCAACTTGGGAAACTTCTAGAGGTGAGTTACCTAAGTTATAACTATAGTCTGCAACATGTCTCAGATGGACTACCTTTCACTTTGAAGTGTTGAAGGTAAGTCCGTTGTCGTCTGCCCAACTTTGAAGTCGAGTCAGATCCTCCTGAAGAACTAGTACATCATTGTGATTACGTATCTCTCTCCAAAGTTTCAGATCATCTGCAAAAAGCAATAAATCAGATGAAACTTGTTGAGGAAGATCGTTAATATAAATCAAGAAGAGAAGAGGTCCTAGTATTGAACCCTGGGGGACCCCACTAGGACATTCCATAGCCTGAGAGAGAGTGAAGTTAACCCTGACCTTAAAATGTCGGTTTTCTAGGTATGAAGTGATCCAGTCAATTAAAAGGGGTTTTATACCGAATCGTCCAAGCTTCTTGATAAGAAATGCATGGTTGACCCTATCAAAAGCTTTTAAGAAGTCCAGGTAGATGACGTCAACCTTCCCCTTGCGATCAAGGATGGTTGTCCATCTATCCACCGCAGTCAGCAGGTTGGTCATACAAGAATGACCTTTTCTGAAACCATGCTGTTGAGGCGAGAACTTTGAGGATGATAAGTGTTCTAGTATGCCGTCGAATACTAGGGATTCCATAATTTTTGAAGGTATGGAGAGAAGGGCCACTGGTCGGTAGCTTGAGGGTTCACTGCGTCGACCTCCTTTGAAAATTGGTGTGATGTGGGCCAGCTTCCATATTTCCGGTAGTTTGCCTCTGCTTAGCGAGTGTGCAAACATCACGCTAAGTGGTGTCGCCAGGATTGAAGCTGCTTCCCTCAATACAGCGGAATGAACCATGTCCGAACCAGGAGAAGTGTCTTTTTTTAGGTTCTGCAGTTTACGGAGCACCAAGTTAGCACTCAGGTCCACTTCGGAAAGTGCTGTACAGGTGCAGGTGAAGCTTTCGTCAGTATGGTTGATGTGGGTCAGCTGGAATGTTCGGGAGTAATGTCCAGCCAAAAGGTTAGCGGCATCACTGTCGTTGTTGGTCGGGCCATTAGGACCAAGCAGTTGGGAAACTCCAGTTTTGCCTTGTCGAAGAGAAGCTGCATAACTGAACAAGCTTTTCGGATTGGAGACGAATCTATCGATAAGCTTGGTCTGGAACTGAAGCCTGTCTTCTCTTATTGCCTTTGTGCATATGTTCCTTATATGTTTGTATTGCCTGTACGCGCCGTTGTTATCAGTTCGTTTATATTCAGCCCAACAGTGCCTTTTGCGGCTTAGCAAACGACGAGTGCGGTTCTTGATGATTGCAGGTTGCTTGTAGCTTTTTGGGACCATTTTAGGAACTGAATGCTCAGTAGCACATAAAATCGTGTGCAGTAAAAAATCCCAATGAGCATCCACTTCAATTTGAGGGCGAACATCCCAATCCACCTGTTGAAGATAGTCCTGTAAAGCTAACACATTCAACCGTTTGAAGTTCCAGCGCTTGTTGCTAGTAGGATATCGTAGCTCCGTCTTGCTGACAAAGCTGAATGATAAGACGGCGTGATCACTTTTCCCCAGGGGAGCCAGGATTGAGAGGTCGTCAACTAGGAATTCTTCGTTTGTGAATACCCAGTCTAAGCGTGACGGCGTCTGACTGTTTCTCCAACGGGTTGCCGACTTCACATTTTCAAATAATCCCAGGTCGCCGATAAGGTTGAAGAACAGAGCTTCAGTAGAGTTGGCACCACCAATGTATGTATGTTCCACGAAGTTGATTCTAGGGAGATTGAAATCCCCTAGAATCAGGATATGAGAGAATCCGAGACGCGTAGAGCGAGTTAATCCTTCCAGCAGACGTTTGTCATATTCGATGTCGGCAGTGGGCTTCCTGTAAACGACCCCAACTAGGCACCTCGAGGTGGTAGATAATCTTACTGAGCACCATACTGACTCGTCAAGATTGTGAAACTCTTGGTTGTGAAGTTGGTGCGCATCCAGGCATGACCGTACGTATAGTGCTACCCCATTCTGTCGTTGCGAAATAAAGACATCCCAGTTATTGCTAACTCTTGGTCCGTAAACTGAGACGATATCCAAGTTTCGGATATTCCTATCAGATGGGCATCATTAGCGTTGCTAAGTTCACGTAGCTCATCCATTTTGTTTGGCAAGCTCGCGGCGTTCGTGTATAGGCAGTTTATGCTTTCAATTTGGAACGCGTGAGCCTCTTCTTGTTTGTCTATATGAGCCGTGTGTGAGTGGACAGGTAGTCTACCTATACGATGTTTACCGAGTTGGTAGTCCCTGTCCTTTACACGTTTTTTTTTAATGATCAAGACAGTCCACGAGTGGAATTGTCAGCTCCAGCTTTCGTTTGTGCTTGATCCTGCTGTCGTGGGGCCTATCCGGATGCATATGGATGCCAGTTGGCAACCGACGTCTATTGGCACGAAATGCTTCCAGAGTTGCAGCCGCCATGTGGGAGGAGGGGAAGGTTATCTTCAGCAGCCGGGGCCTAGAGTCTCCGTCTCTCTTGGCCAGTCTCATTACCTGTTGGGTCAATATGTTCTTGAGTTTTAAGGAATGCTTGATGAATTTCCATTACCGAATATCAGAGTTTGCTTGAGCTGGGTCCACATTTTCCGGCACACCTTGCACAATGATATTTCGTCCACGGAAAAACGCCTCGCGAGATTCCTTAGGGATGTTCCGGATGAGATTTCGTTCAGAATACGGTATGTCGGGCAGTATTCTTACGTTCCCATCGGACCTCAGTAAGTGACTGGCTAGCAGGACGTCCTCTACGTCGGAGGCATTCTTAAGTGTAACACGAAGCAGCCTCGGGTGGTTTAGGTGGTTAGAGTCCTTCCCCCGAGTGAGCCGTGTGACGGTCAAAGGCTCTATTCTAGGGAGTTCAAGCCTCTTGATTAATTCTCCCCAGAGCATCCTATCGTTTTTGTCCTGCAAACTGAGAGGAAGGTCGGGGTTGTCAATAAGGTTCATGGTTATGACAGAGTCGTCACGAACCGCAATTAATTTCCCAGGTTTTCCAGGGCGTCTAGGTTTGGTATCTTGTTGTTTGGATGTCGAGGCGCGTTTTCGATTCCTGGGCTCAGTGATGACCGGGCGGACAGTCTTGGGTGTAGACTGTGCGGCCAAAGCATCAATTGATTTCCGCACGATACTTGGGACGTTCAGTTTCGGAGGGGACGCTTGGGCTTTATTACTCCTGTTAACGTGAGTCCATTCACCTACAGGATTTTTGGGAACCACTGTCTCATTCAAGGACCGTTCCCCGGGGGACCCAAGTTTACTGAGGGAGTCGATGTTAAGATGGTGCTGAGTTTCAGCACATCATCACTCGTGCTGTTAACAGCACTGTCGATAACCGACCTGTCAGTATCCTTTTTCTTATTTGCCCTATGCGTTCCAGCTTTGTTACCCGTCATGATGATATCATTTACCGAATTCTTAGACAACTTATCTCTCAGACCTGTCAGTAAAGTAATGATAGTACCCAACATAACTACCGTATCGGTGTTGCAGGTAACACATACCCACCTACGATCAGACTTGCTGAGTCTGCTATAGGCTGCTGCTGTTAGATCTGTACATGCTTCATGGAACCAACCTTTACAGTTGTCACATTGCATGCCAGATGTAACGGCAAAACGGCAACCAGGTCTCTTGCATGAATTTTTCATGGCTAGTGATTTAGACTGTCTTAAAAATATAAGCAGTAAATTTAGGACCGATAAAAAAAACACACAGTAAACAAAAACTATCAAAAATGTATAAAAACAGTTAACGATAAGCTAAAGCTAGCCTTTACGTGAAAACTATAAAAGAAAACCGATAGTGAGCTGAGGCAAAACCACAGTTAACTATTAATTTGAGTGAAACACAAAAAAAGAAGTAATCTACCGAACGTATAGCTCAGAATAGATTCTTTGGATTGGAAATGATACTTTTGTTGCGTAAGAACACAGCAAAAGTTTGAGAAATGTAAATCACGTTAGGACTAAACTTCCCGTTCGAATAGCGCGTTTTTTTTTCATCGTGGGGGAGCACAGGCCAACCACCAGCGTTCACCTCCGAACTCTGTCCTGGGCAATCCTTTCCAGTTGTTTCCGGTTGCTATTCATTCTTTTCATGTCTGTTTCCGATTCTCGGTGCAATGTGTTCTTCGGCCTTCCTCTCTTTAATTTCCCTTCAGGATCCCAAGTTAGGGCTTGCCTCGTGATTCAGTTTAGTAAGTCCTGTAATGTATGTCCTATCCACCTCCATCGTCTCCATATTTTCTTCAGCTGGAAGCTGCTGTATTCTCTCACATAGTAGGCTGTTGCTAATGGCATCTGACGAATAGACACTCAGTATCTTACGTAGAAGACATACTTAGTGCACCATTCATATTTGAAATAAAACATTTCTGACGTAGAAAGTCTGGACCTTACTCCGATTCCAAGTCACGTTCGGAAACTGACTTTAAAACTATCCACTTTTTTATTGAGGTATTACCTGCTGAAAATGGAGAAGGCTTCAGGGTCAATATCTCAGCTAAGTTCTATTGCAAAGCCTCATAATTTCTTGGGTTGTAGCGATTAGTCTACTCAGACTTTACAGCATGAAGATGGACGGTACACTTTTATTGAATCATAGCATCTTAATCGTACATATCTGTGTCAAATACAGCAGTTTTTACGGTTTCTTTTTTACATACATATAATACATAGTGTTGAATAAAGACCAAGTCTGTTGAATCTCCCACGCATATGTTGTCTAGCCTTATTTCAGGTTCATTAGTGTTCCATGAAATATGCGTAGGAACAAAACTTGATTTTGATTTACAGTTGTTATCTAGCTGTCGGCCAGGGATAAAGACTGCTACTCGTAAAAATCACAAAATAAAGGAAACTGTTTTCGTGATTGGTAATCTCGTGTTTGTCTAGTCCAGCTTTCATTAAACCAGATCATTATTTTTTTATTTTAGCATTTTGATCGCAACAGCCTGTTTCTCCGAATCAGTCATCATGGTATGATCCTATTGATTAAATCGAATTCATTATGATTTAGGAGCATTTCATCATTGGCAAAGAATTATCCACACATTCTGATATTTCGTACAAAACTAAATTTAAAAAGTATAAACGTAAATGCTTGTTCGAACCCGTTTCAGAAAATGAAATTGAAAATGCCTATACAGAATTACTGTCAGGTCTGTCTCAAGAGTTCTGTCGTGCTTCAGCACGCTTATCCAAAGGCGTCATCGAAAACGGCCGAGTTCTCCTTTCACAAATATGTGGGAAATATTTTCGTATAATGGGTTTCTCTCTTGATGGCTCATCTTATCTTCATCCAGAAGAAGCATTATACCTTGCTGAATGTAATAAAATCCAAGTACTTGTTAGTGGTTTACCACTGAGTATTCAAGAACTTTACGACCAGCTTTTAAACAATGAAACATATTCACACTATCTGGCCTACTCTCGATTATCACGATTGAATTTCAGTCTTCGAAAACGAGCAAATTTTGACTTACAACTATATTACCACAGTATGACAGGTAAATTATTTAGAATTCCAAAATCAATTGACGTTTCGATTACGACTTATCCACTTTTAAACCAAGAATGTAGAAAACCTAATAGAAAGAGAAAGTTCAAAGACTTTCAACCACTTATTGATCGTAATGCAATACATCCTATCACTAGTCTTATGCATAATTTGCAAGAGATTGTACAACCTGCCTGTGATAAGTCTATTCAATCAACGAACGATATAAATCTACTGTATGATATTTATGGAAACAATCATGCAGAGAAAAGACGTATTATTAACTTCTCTAAACGCTCCCCTCCTCATCCTGATTATGTTTTATCTGTTTTGTCACCAAAACAAATATACCCAGACATGGAATCTCAAAGCTTGATAAAAGTTGGCCTACAGCCAGATACATCTGTCCTTATATGCATGGCAGATGGATGTGATGTTTCATTTTATATGACAAACTGTTTTGTAATTCCAGATATTAATTTTCAAGTAACCCATCAGGAAAAGATAGCGTGGACATAGATTAAATAAAGGATTTTTCGTACACTTAGTTTTTTTCATACAAAAATCTCGAGTCAACCATTTCAAAATCCTGACGTTTTTGGTTTAACCAGTTTCACGTTCATTTTATCCAGTAAATGAGCAATGGGTTGACCTTTAGGTTCTATTCTTACTTAGTTTTTTTCTCGCAGAACTAGTAATCGAACCTCTCTCAAAGAAGTAATTGATAAACTTGACTCTTATTGCCGTCTCATTGATGACAGTTTCATTATCGTTGATCAGAACATTAGAAAAAATTTGTTAGGGCGATTTAACAAAATACACTCAGGAATCAGATTCATGTGTGGGGGAATTCGGTAAAAAATTACACTTCTTTCACGTTGTGTTTAATAGAAAAGAAAATGTTCCTAGTTGTATGCTATCCTCCATCGAGACTTGCTTTCAAGCCGTCATCAACATACGTATGTACGATATCGATATCATGGCATTTTCTACCATATCGTCAGTAGCCATCGGTATTTTGTTATAGGCTGCAACCAAGTCCATTTTTGGAGTGACAGTTTCACCTTTTATGGTAGTTGTCAATTCGTGAATGTGAGTCAACGAGTAACGATCGCGAATATTTTTGGCATTCAAGTGCCGATAAGCACCGGTTTGACGCCAATCGTTGTTGTCCTTTTTAGGGACCATGTGCAGTGGAGATACCGATGGTCTCTTTGACAATCAAATGATTCCTAACTCTTTTATGTGGTTAAATTCATTTGTAGTCAACCCCAGCTTTTCGGGAGTCAGTCGAAAATATAGGTGGTCCTATAGTGTTGGTGTTATGTGTAACATTACTGGTTACATACGGCTACTTCGGTTGCAGTTGTTATATCCCAGAGTACTTATCGAGTATCCCCTAGACTAGTCAGCATTGTGCGTCGTGGTAATCGGTGTTCAGGCATACGTAACACCTGGCCCAACCATCTCAGTTGATAAAGATTCACAACCTTATCAATTGATTTACCATCATTCCCTAATATCCTGTGTCTAACCTCACTATTACTTACTCGGTGATCCCAGCAGATGCGAGCAATATTTCTAAGGCATTTGTGGTCAAATACTAGTAACCTACGAGTATCTTCTACTCTTAATGACCACGTTCGCAGCCGTAAAGTAGAACAGAGCGAACTGCTGCGCAGACGAATATCTTGCCTTCGCCTCCGTGACGTAAGTTGGCAAAAGCCAGACGAGCTTTTCCAATCCGTGCTGAGATTTCGTCAGACACCAACCCATTAGGGCTGATCAGACTTCCAAGATAAATGAAGTTGTCGACGCGTTCGACTACTTCACTCCCTATCCTTAGTTCAGGTGTTGACGCAGGCTCCAATGTGTAGTTTGGAGCGAGGTTTTAGTAGACCTGGGACGGCGTTTCGCGCACTGGAATCGTTGGCCATAGTGACACTTGAGGAGGAAACCGAAAGAGGAAGTTTAGTGTTGAAAGTCAAGGTAGAAGGAATAGTAGGAATTGAAGAACGAGATTGATTATGAATACAGTGGCCTTGAGTGCTGTTAGAGGTATGAGGGCAGTTATCACTTCCCGGTTGCCCACACCGTGGAAGGGTTCTTCTAGAGGTACCTGAAAAGGAAATTGGATTAGAAGTGTTCTTAATGACCTGAGAGCGTGACCGCAGTGCCCAAGGGACAACTGCTTGAGGTCGGTCACACACGACCTTTTTGTGAGTACTTTTCGTGTTAGCTCCGTTCTTCAAAGGACCTTACCGCCGGGGATGGATATCCGTGGGATAAGGCGAGGTGTGCATTTTTTAGGGTCGACCTTTTCTAGTTCCACCCCTCCTTGTGGGAAGGCAGCATCGCTGTCATGCTGGTTGTCTGAAGGAAACAACTTACTGCTGTCACACCTCTGTACAGTCAGCAGTACGACTTCGCCTTCGGACCTTGGGTTTGCTGCTTTTAGTCTCACCGCTCTTCAAACGACCTGCCTGGCATAGTAGGACCTTGAGGGACGATTGTTCCAGCCAGTATAGCTCGATTGAATCATCACGATAGGCAAGCCCGACCACCACTTCAAGGTAGCGGCAACGGTCGGGACTAAAGAAGTACATTAACTTTATAAAGGCTTTGTACTCGAACACAACTGATCGAGTTAGAGCTTATGGTTAACTGTCATCAGGATTGATTACCTCAAGTAGTGTTTGTCAGGGCTGTCCACTCTCTCCATTCTTGTTTAACTTTGTCGTTGACATGCTTTTAGAAATAATACTTTCCTCATCCATATTTAAAGGGGGGGGTTGAACTTCTACCAGGAGATTAACTTGTTGATATAGAATATGCAGATGACATAGTTCTATTTGGTGAAGACGCTGACAAAATGCAGAGTCTTCTGACCACCATAAGCAACAATGCAGGCATGTTCGGGATGCGAATCTCCCCCCTCGAATCGCAAAATGTTACTTCAGAATTGGGTTGCATCGGCACCTGAATTAATGATAGGGAGTGAAGTAGTTGAGCGTTTCGACCGCTCCACTTATCTTGGGAGTCTCATCAGCCCTTGTGGACTGGTGTGTGACGAAATCTCAGCACGGATAAAGAAGGCTCGTCTAGCTTCCACCAACTTGCGTCATTTATGGCGTGGGCGAGATATCCGTCTAGCAACCAAAGGACGGATTTACTGTGCAGCAGTTCATTCCGTCCTACTTTATGTCAGTGAAACATGGTCGGCAAGAGTAGAGGATATTCGTAGGCTACTAGTGTTCGATCATAGGTGTCTTCGAAGCATTGCTCGTATATCCTGGGACCACCGGGTAAGTAATGCAGTTGTTAGGAAACGAGTACTAGGTAGTGATGGCAAATCGATTGATGAAGTAGTGAAACTTCATCAGTTGAGATGGCTGGGACATGTGTTACGTATGCCCAACCACCGACTGCCTCGACGTGCAATGTTTTATGGTGTAGGAGTAGGTTGGAAGAAAGCTGGGGGTCGCCAGACCAAAACGTGGCACAAATCCATGAAGTCACTGACAAGTGGACTGAGCCATGTTGGTAGGTGTAGACTACCTGGTTGAGATCCGCGAGATGATAACAACTGATGGTTAGAGACCTTGAATGAAATGGCTCAAAATCGTTTGCAATGGCGAAGGTGCATCTACTCTTTGTGTTTCCCTAAATTTCAATCTTCTAAATTCTTCGTGTCCCCATCCTTTTTATTTTTCCAAATTTATTTGACTAAATTTACTCCTTTAATAACATCTTCAAACCCTCCTCTTTCGGACTACTGGTTATACTATTACAACCTCTACCACTATGGGATTTGAATCGACAACTGCATCTCTGTGTTAATTTGATGTGGCAACTCGAACTGATGTACGTACGTACGGAGTTCTATGTTTTGGCTGACTGACTGGTTCCTTAACTAAGGAACAAGTTACCTGGTTCTGCCATATCCAGGTTCAGGTTTTTTTAAGTTATTTGAACATATAAGTATTGGTACGAAGGGGCACAGAATACATATGCGCCACACAAATCACTTGATTTGTGAGTGGGCTGTGATACTCCCCGGGAGCCCAGACCGAAGCAGGCGGTTTTTTCTGGGGACCATACCCGGAGCCTTAGACCTAAAGGTCTGATCCACAAGGCAGTGGAGCGACGTCAGGAGATGCAGTCCCATGGTAGCCAGTGACCAACAATTGATTCATACGTCATTTGTTGTTTCAGGATTCTGTAGCCCATTTATACCATCTGCTTGGAATCAGGGTTTCCCAATTTTCCTAGGTGGATCTTCCGTGTCCACCAACGTGGTTAAAGCACCGGACCTTCGTCCTCCAGCCACCATCTTATCGCAACATAGTGCACGCAGTGTCGAGCCACCTAGACTGGTGGCCACATTGCAACTTGATCGATAGCATTCGATCAGCACTAATAAGGACTTGACACGCATGACATTGATCACCACCCAGTGATCAATCAATTGTGATTACATCTCAGTCCTACAGGAGGTTGGTCGCGGCCCGAATAGCTCAGTGATGACGTCTCTGACTGTGAAGCTGAATGACACGGGATCGAATCCGCCAGGAAGCATCAGTTCCCTGAAGATTACAGGTACACCTTGCTGACGAGTGCGAAGTAGCACGAAACCCGGGTCCAGAGTTTCCTGTTGACCACCTCCAACCACCATCTTACCTCAGTGAGTAGGACTTCCCTGGCAGTGGTTGTATACGCGCGGTTATGTGAGGACATTTCGAGAGGGAGAGCTGACTCTCCCCACCGTCGACTGTATCAGGGAATTTGAAGGCTTCCATGGTTTTAATGAAATCCAGCCATCTTCGCAACGCATCCCGAATATTTTATTTATCATTAACACCCATAATTTTGGGTTCTTTATTTTTCTTCACTCCCTTTCTTCAAATATGCGCTTCATTGTCTATTCATTTGAACATCGCATAACTTTATGATTTTTAATGAATGTTAATTCAGTGTTTATCTTTTCAAGTAGTTGAACAAATTTCTATCATGAAACATTGATTCAAGCCTGTGTTGTTCTTATCTCAGCTACTACACCTGTCATCACATTATCAATGTGTACTTTTCATGTTTACTTATGTAACCTATTCCGTTGTTCCCACTGATATTGCTGACTCATAAACTGCCTTGATAAATTTAATATTTTCATATATGCACATAGATATTACTGTATATTAGAGGGAAGGCTGATGAGGATCTAATTGAAAGAAATATTGTTCGCTTACATATGTTATATTTTAAGAACCTATTACTACAAAATCAAATACTCGCGCATGGACTTCATCTACAGTAGACCTTAGCAAGTCATCTTTTGCATTCTGCAGTTGTGCTGTTGTAGTCGACGGGACCATTAGTAATAACTTAAGTTCTTCAAAAATATCTCAATTGTATCAGCAACAGCGTGTCAATCATGTACATTGACCATGATTCACTCAAACTGACCTGGGGTTGAGCCCTCCAGGTAGTACCAGTTCCGTCAAAATTAAATTTCCAGCCTCCTGACGAGTTCAACTAGCACGAAATATAGATCCAGGGTTTGCAGCCGACTACCATCAACCACTTAAAATCAGAAAGTAGTGCGTACGACGTCGAGTCACTTGGATTGGTGACTACATATAAACTTGATCAATAGAGTTTTATCATCACTAAAGACTAGATAAATATCACATTGGCCACCACTCAGTGACCGGCCAGTGTAGAGCTAATAAAAACAGACTCACCTGTTTGTGCTTATCGACAAGTGTACAAAACTTGTATACGTTTATCCGAAGATTAATAAGATTATTCAACTTCCGAAGCGAGTTAGTTTAGAACATACTAAATGAATTTCAAAATGCGTATATCACTTGAATGCGTTTTCAAATAAGAATATATACTGAAATAGAAGAGCTGCTATTTGTTGAACAGTCTGTATTTGAAAAGGATAAAATATCATTAAATTCAGAGATAAATATTACATCAAGAAGATAACGCGGTAAATTAAGCTGATAATAAGTTGGGAATAAGTAGTAGAAAACCATATTTCATTCGTCTTTTTCATATAATGTTTTAAAAAAGATAAAATATTACTTATTTGGTCAGTTGTATTTATCGGATCAAAATGAAATGAAGTATAGTACGTCAAGGTCAATGAATTCTTCATACAAGTTCTATTTTGAGATTTTCATATATTAGAAGGTGATTGTTGACGTTGATGTTCACGCATTGATTCACGTTCAAGTATCTAACATGATAGTAAAGCAAAACAAAAACATAATTTAATACTAAATTAATTCTAATACGATGTTTTGCTCTTGAACTGGGCTTTAATTTCCAAAACTACGCTAATGATATAATTCATCTGTTCAAACTGAAGTGAGATGAAATTCTCAACTAGGTGTTTGGAAACTGTTAGTTTAGATTCAACTGACTCATATTCAACTATACATAGTTCTTTTGTAATCCATTTACCTCCAGAACTAGCTTTACTGTTAACACATGAAGAATATATTTCAAGAATCTCAGATATTCCGATGCAGCTGAACAACTGGATGTTGTGCATTATTTAACTTCCGATTGAGGAGCGATAAGTTGAAGGATAATTTTTGTTAATTCTCATTATTTCAAACATTATAGTGTGTTAATAGCCAATTTTAAAATGGACCAGTAAACTTCTATTCTATTAAAACTAATTCAGAACTACTATTATTTCTAAAAGCCAAGTCCTAACTTAAGAATGTTTATAGAATTAGATACGTCTCATTTTGATTTGTTGTTGGTAAATTATAAGCTTGAAGTAGAAATATCCATCGAATTCTGAGTACTTAATCTGTTACATGAGAATTCAGTTTGATTTAAAAATGACTTTTCACATTGAATAAGTTTAACTGGATAGGGTAGGAATTATTTATAGAATACAAGATACCTAATGTGGCCAGCAGAAAATGCATCAGTAAATACTGTATTAGATTCAGTACTTAAGACTTGCGGAAATTCAATCCTTTCGAATAAGTACACATCACTTTCTGTCCGTGTGTAGATTTGCATAATTTCGAAAAAGATTCTATTCATAGTCCTTAAAATAGTATGGTTTGTAGATAGAATTGTTCGCTTACATCAACCAGGTTACGATTGATCTAGGGGTTATACAGTTTTTATTTTCATTATGAGGTACGATTATTAGTGTTTGTTAGGTTAGCTGAAATAAGAATAAAATATCTCACAGAAAATTTTCTACTAGACAGGAATAGTTTAATAAAGAACCAAACGTAAAGCGTGCTTAGTTGTTAGTATTATTTGTTAATAAAAAGTTTGAGAACTCAGTTGTTGGGATGTATTTGCATGGTATATTCCCAATTCCAAAAAGAAAATCGTGGCACTTATGAAACCTGAAATCGAATTGTATGGTGCTATAAGCGAAGTAGTTACCGGAAATGCCTTTCCGTTCGTAACTGAATTTAAGTAAGCTTGAATTATGCAGAAATAAGTTTGAGTAGACGAATCTAAACAGCACTCATAGTATAAATGAAAACACCAATAAACTAACAACACTATTAACAAAGTAAATTACCTTAAGGGCTTCTCGTCTACGATGTTCTAATTTAGCTATCTGAAGTACAACAGAAGTAGGTGTATGCGGAACAAGTGCACTGATCGCAGCGCGTGTTATGATTATTGCATGCTAGTAGGAAGAGGAGAGAATGATTAATAAATCATGACTGTATATTAACTGGTAACTTGTTACCCTACAAGGAAAAACTAACATACTTGAAAAAGTTAATTGAAAAATTAGATATAAAGATTATGGATAAGTTTCCTTTCACCAATTCACAATACTACGTTGCGGTGTTTCACAAAACAATATTTGTACTTGATTCACCCATCGACTGATTGATTTTAGTTAGAGGCTAGTAAAACAGTGGATCATTCGTAGACTACTAGTTGAGGGATCAACAAAATTCTAATCTTTCACTTATTCTGAAAGATTTTGTAAGTAAAGTGTTTAATTTATTTCCATTAACTTACATTTGAGATCAAGCATTTCCATGTATAAATTTCATAAAGTTCAAGTTTAAATGTCAGCTAATAGATGCAAATACAAAGTCATTATTATTCATGAGGAAGAGTAATATGATTTCTGATTACAATGAAGCAATAAAAATTGTCCACCGTTGCACTAATTTTACAGCATCTAGTACTACATCATACTCTACATGAATTATTCTGGCTTTTCAAGAGATGAATTAATTTATCCTTTTTGAGTCAATATGCGCACATATTTTGACCATGTCAGTTATTCTCTTACAATCAACTGTTTTTATATGAACGTAAACCAGAATAATCCGTGTAGATGTGACACAATAACCAGATGCTATAATTTCACTGGTAGAATGGTATTGTTAACATGGACAATTACAGAAATGTTTGTTTAATTTTCAGTATCATAATTTTAAAACATTTTAGGATTTTGTATATTCAGCCATCCTGATGTAATATCTGCATTTGTACGGTATTCAAATAAAAAATAAAGGACGTTTGCCAGTGTCTATATTGTACTGTCACTAATATGATAACAAAAAGGCTGCCTGCTTGAATATCTGGACTACCTGTTCCTGTCATATATATATTTCAAAAAGTTATCTGTTTCCTTTTTTTAACAGATCATTATGTCTATTAATTGCATAACCTATTCAGATGCGTTTGTGAAAAGTTTACGACCTTACTCTGTTCAAGTTACGAAAATGTAAAATCGAAGACATCATGATTGCTGGCAATATGGATTGAAAATAATGAATATCATACAGATGTCGATTTCTGAAATGCCAACGTTGAACTGGCGATAGCTCAACTTTTATCGTCAATATCAACCAAGAAATAAGAAACGGGAACTCGCTGAAATATTTTGTGCTAAGAATTCTATATTGTACCAAAAATATGATATTGATGAGGCGGCGGGACTATAATTTATGGACGACCCTTGAACGAATCCTAAGTGACCTTGAGAAATGGTAGCCAATCAGTAAACAGTCAGCATAGAGTAAAAATATATTATACGAAACCAAATAATTAAAGTGGATACACTTCTTTTATATGGTACAAAAACTTGTCAATGTTAGAGAAAGGTTCAAAGGTTCCAAAATCGTAATGTATAAGGTAGAGGAACTCATCCACACGGCTCCATAATACTCGGTCTCTGGAGCCATGATAAGATCATAAAAACCCTTTCAGTCTCGACAACACAGCTTTATTATTGTTTGTGTGTTCTCCGGTTGTGTAAGTCTATTATTTTTATTATGGATATGTTCCAACAATATTCATACCAGTGAATAGCCGAAGCTTCAGTAACATCTGCGATTATTGTAGTCAATGTTACTGGTGCTTTTATTATACAATTGGCGGCGATTATTATAATATGCCCTAATCTGGATCAAGCGATAAAGGTTCCTATTCTAGCGAACGTCTTCCTTCAACATATATTACATCGAAGGACAACATCAGGGTAGTCTGCACAAGGTCAACTAGTCATTTAATACTCGTAATTACAAATACAGCAACTTCTTAGTAGTTTCATTTATTGTAGCCACTTAATTGTCACATTTTCACTAAAATTCTCTGTGATTCGATAGTACTTGAGCATCAAGCACTGAAATAAGCGCCGTGACCTTGAAATCCCTCAGACGCTTCTGATTGGCTCGTCCATTAATTATAGTCTTGCCGATGAGGCTAATAATAATATGCTTATTTGTTCTTCATTCACAGTCTCAATGGTGTAATCCAAGATAATGTAATTCTATCAACGAATTTTCGCCTTATTTCACAGAATAAATCACTTCAAACATTGTACCATCAGCACTTATTAATTCAATTCATTGATATACAACAATCTGTTCAATGACTAGCAAAAAAGGTATTGAATGTAAATAAAAAATGACACAGATGTAATTTTAGTTAATCACAAAACATTTTAAAAAGGTCTAATAACAATAACACAGACTGCATATCAAAGTTATTGCTCAAGAAAAAAGAACAACCGTACATTTTACTTTCTTTCTTCGTCAGTCATTTGACTTACTTCAATGAGAACAAGAAAAATAATCAACTGTGAAGAAGATAAATTAGGAAATAGACGTTGTACAGTTCCAGATATGCCAAGTAAAGCAATATTCACAATGACAGCTATATAGCTGACAACATCTAATGCTAGCTATTTGAAATATAATGTAAAAAAGAATAGTCATATACTACTGAGAAAAGTAATAATAAGCACTCAGTTTGTTAAAATAACATGTGTCTTGTCAATGGGGTTCAGTACGGCCTGCGATGTTATGGATTTATGAGCGAAAATGATTGAGTTTCTCTAATACGACCAGTTCTCTTCGGAACTGACAACAGTCAATTATGCTCAACATATCAAACCTTGACGGCTAAGACAAGAAGAAGCCGGAATTGTAGGTAGCATGATATGTATGGTAGAACAAGCGACTCAAACGACATTAGTACAAAAGTTGTTACTATAATAGCAGAATATGACTTTCGAGTATACAGCAATTTAGCGAACTAAGAAACATGATAACCGATAAGAGGGCAAAAGTCATGCAGGAAATCGAATTTGTAGAAAGTATGCGAGCGATTATCGTTCCAGAAGAGGTATTAGCCTTTTTAACGGAATTGGACTATTCTCGTGACCGCTTCAGCATAACACTTTAAATGAAATGTATAATCATGATTATGAATGATCAATGTAATTTATTCACTATTTCTACAAGTTGATATTACTCAGTTTCAAACTAAATAATGCTGTATATGATAGCTAACGGCTTCCTGAACCAAAGTAGGTGGATCGTGGTTTCAACCTTACAAAACTTCTTAATTGCCTAGATAAAGGGAACTTATAAAATGAAATTTGCTGATGGAAATCAGAAGGATACAAATGAACAGAGAATAGGAAAGTAGAATCAAAATAACAAGATGCACATGATAATGATAAAAGGATGGTCAACCATTTTGAGTTTTATGATATCAATGATCAGAGACTAGCAAATATATATTATCCTGCTAAAAGCATCCACCTGGCAATTTGGATGGATGTATATATTTACCAGTGTTCTATATCATTTATAAATGACTGATTGATGAGTTATTCGATCGATTACAGTGAAAGTGAAACGTAGGACCATAAAAGTGATCTTGAGATGATAATAAATATCATAATCTACTACTGAATTCCGTAAATATCTTACTGACGAATAAGTGATATACGATATATAAATTAAGTGATTAAAACTATAATTACAATAAATAATATTAGACAGTCGGATATTTGAAATTAATAAAGATACATTAACCAACGAATATGGAATAGACAGATATTAACTATTAAATCTCTAAGCTGTATAAAATAAATACGATACTACAAAAAGAAGGGCAATACTTACTTGCCAAATACCAATACTATTTGCAAATTTACCAAATGGACGTTGATAACTAGTTGATAATTTATATGCATCACCTCGTATTTCAATTATATTATTCATAAAAGCCAATAAACCGGCTAATGGAAATATGCCAGTAAACATACTTACATAACCGAATTGAATAAACATTTCTAAGAAATCATCGGTTGGATCTTCATACTATGTGTAAATTGAAAGAAATCGACAGAGAGAAAAAAAAGTGAAGAAAAAATTCTTAGAAATATATATGAGATTTTTAGTAGTGCATAATATGTCGTCTGAAAAATTGGACATTTAAAATGATATTATCAGAAAGGGTTTGGTGGAGATTTTAGTAATTTTATAGAGTTGAGATCATGAGTCAATTGAATCTAGACCACCATGGAAAACCTGGAAGGCCGTTTCGTCCGAGTGCGGGATCGTGGATGCGCACTGCTGAGGAGTCCCATAATAGGACGAAACGGCCTTCCAGGTTTTCCATGGTGGTCTAGATTCAATTGACTCATGATCTCAACTCTATAAAATGATATTAGTTGAATTTTACCAATAAATATAGATAATAAAGATTATTAAATTCATTAGTCAACTGTAGTGTCCCTTTTTCAATTTTGAATCGTATTTTGTGTGTATTTTAAAGTTAGTTATACTTTCTAAAACCTTAAAATAATGTTGATAGAATCGATTTACAAAAAAAGTCACCTAGTGATTTTATTAAATCAAGTGACTAAAACATTAGGCCACCAACCATAAAATCCATCAGTTTTATATTCATTACCAAATCATAAAATAAACATTTATAAGTCTGTATTGATAAATTTCGAAAGGAATGTTCATAATACTTATTTAATTACATTAAATGAACAATATGTAATTAATCAACAAATATTGATATTAATTATCAGAAAGGGTTTTGTGGAGATTTAGTATTTATCATAGCTGAAAGCGTGAGTCAATTGAAGCTAGACCATCATGGAAAACCTGGAAACATTGGATATTATGGATATTATACCGTTTAAAACAAAATTACATGATAAACCTTTGAACTAACATGCAACCCAAATGCCCTGGTACGACCAAGAGTGGGGAGAGTCAGCTCTCCCTCTCGAAATGCTCTCACATGGCCACGCGTATACAGCCTCTGCCAGGGAAGTTCTACTCACTGCCTTTTCGTGGCACCGATATTGTTTACGAAATGGAGAGGACAAAAAAGCGCCGGACAAAATGTCCGGCGCTTTAACCGGGTTAATAGACACGGAAAGTTCACCTAGGGGAGTTGGAAAACCCTGATTTCAAACCAATGGTGCACATGGACTCCGGGTGCCTGAGGGAACAAATGGAGTATGAATCAATCGTTGGTCACCGGCTACCATGGGACTGCATCTCCTCACGATGCTCCACTGCCTTGTGGATCAGACCTTTAGGTCAAAGGCTCCGTCTGTGGCCCCCTAAGAAAACCATCTGCTTCAGTTTGGGCACCTGAGCAGTATCACAGCCCTCACACAAATCGAATGAGATTTGTGTGGCGCATATATATCTGGTGCCCTATTGTACCAATATTTATGTGTTCAAATAAAATAAAATATGCCTAATACAACAAAACTGATTGTAACTGGGGTATAAATTCACTGATGGAATTTAGTTGTTGTATAGATCAATATGGCTTATCTCAATTCGATAATTTACTGGACATTATTTGAATTAGAAGATAATCAAGTGGTATAAGTTGCATTAAAAAAAAGTAATTCAAAGGTAGCTAAATATATATACTCGTATTTATTGAGATATATTTCTAAAATTTTGATCCATGTTACAGAGTATTGACAGATAATCATCACTTCGTGAAAATTCAAACATCTAATATGGATTGATGGGTAAAAGTGTTAATTATTTACAAATTGATATTTATTGCTTACACGTAACAATGTAGCTTCTCTCTCCGCGGGTGTTATTCGTGTTTCTTCTGAATGATCTACGTACAGAAAGTTAAATAAACAATGTTTAGGAGATACATAAATAGATAATACTGAATATGTTATACATATTATGATTACTTTTACAAGCTATTTCGTTATAGTTTCCTTTTACCTTGTAATATATAAAACATATCAGTTTGACATTATACTACAGATTTATATTATGCATTGCATACTCAATATAATTTAAAAATAGGTTTATCTTGTAGACAGTAACAGAATATAATGATCTGATCCATAAAAAAATTGTATGTGAGAAGTTCTGATTATGCTGCTCCTTTTTAACTGTTAAGTTCAACTGTTGACTGACTCTTCTTTTTTCCTATAAGCTAGTTTAGATTTCCAAAATATTTTACATGAATGATTGTAGATATTTGAAGGAACACTTTAGCAGAAACTGGATGCTGAGGATACAGGAAACGCTATATGCAAAAATATTTATTTGATATAATATCAGGAATTGAAATTGAAATAATTCAAACGTTTCACTCAGCGAGTTTGTGCGAACTTCTTTAGGGTAAAAACTTGACTTTTTTTACATATAATATTTCAAATCTATGTTCTGCATACAGTGAGTAGCTAATCAAGAAACGCCATAGTTAAAGGTCATTTTATTATTCGGATTAAATTTGTAGCAACGAAGTGTTGGTAACCTTTATATAACACTTTGTACTTGCTGGATTTCAATGGAAACCAAAGTTTGTCAATAGTTTTCAAGTTATAAGGCTTTTGCACATCACCAGTACTTGGTCTTGATATCTTAGAATGTATTAAACAGAATATAGGTTTTGTATTAAATTTCAACTTGGCATTCCTCCTTTCTCGCTTGACAAATAATATTATAAAACTACACCAGTTTACGATTTAAAATAACACGTTTAGAAATTTTCTAGTACATAAAATGAAACAAGACAATCTTACCAAAAGATTTTGAATTATGGTATAACTTATTTTCTTCAGTGACTGTCTGGATTCGTTGATGGATAAGGATTTCTGGATTCACATCAACATTCATTTTGGTAATGTTATTATCAGCACATTGACTATTATTTTCCGGCGATATTGAATATTTATCAACATCTGAATCTGTTTTACTGGGTGGTGCTAATGATGATGATGAGTTGGATGTTGATAATGAACCATTATTATCTTTAGATTTTAACTTATTACGTTCAACTAAGCACCTCTGTTCATATTTTAATGATAACCATACTTGTCGTAAACGTGAGTGACCAAGTGGTAAAAACGTTTCTCTGATTGAATCAATTATTTGTCTAGTAAGTAGTAATGTTACAAGTTGCTGGATATATTCGGAAGAAGAAACGCAAAAAAGAAGAGTATAATTATAACAAAAACAACATATATGTATATTTCAAGATCATGGTTGTGAATTCCAGTAAACCAATTATTCCCTACACATACAACGGTTTAACCTTACTGGTCATTTATTAGTAACCAGTTTCATGTGGTCAGTTTGTTAGCTAATTGAACCCTGTCGATACAATGTAATCACTGGTATAATTTATTTGACATCATGATACACTTTGTTTAATAATTCGGAACGTGGAGGCGAGTCGTAGTTAAAATAGCCCATTATTAACGTTGTTGACATAAACACTTCGTGACTGGAGTACAAACCAAGTAAAGTATCATTTCCTTCAAGATTTCTGGCTATTTATAGGTAACGTACAACAAACTAATAAAGTTAGCTGGCTCACTAAAATCAAAGTACACAAATTAACTGGTGAAATGGACTGAAGATTGAATAAACTCTAAAATTCAAAACAATTCTACCTAATACAAAACAATCAGTTGATTAACATTGAGAAAACTATTTATTTGATAATTCTTTCATAGCTACGTCGCCGAATTTACACAATTTAATAACTGGCTTACTGAAGAGAAATTTAGTCATTCTCTTGAAGATTGTAATTTTATTTTATAGTTTTATTTCCCGATGGGAAGACAGTTTCACCCCATTTACAAAATACCAAATCAATTGTACATGAAGTATGAGAAAAAAAAGTAAAAATATAGTTCAATAGTTACACCTTTTGGTAATAAATCCATAAGCATTAACGGTGTATAGAATTTAAGAAACTACCGTTAGGTCCCACTTAGATTATGCAAATAATGCTTAAACGAATGTACAATAATTCAGATACTGAATACAATCAGATAAGTACAACAATAAAATATATTTGACCTAAGTAAACTATGAATTCAATGTTAATCTTAATAAATTATTAATATACGAGTTGATATAATGAAATTTATACGGATTGGATATAACAATTATTTCAACCAATCAGAACGATCTATGGAAGACAAAAAGTTAAACAGTTGTAGCCAATTTCTTATATCATATCATAAAATCAAAATTGAAAGAGAAATACGGCGAAAGATTTGTTAAAGCGATTTATATAAGGCTACATTTTTGACTACACAGTCGATATGCCCAAGATAAGCATGGAATGACTACTTCAATAGTCTCGGACAAGATTGATATCTAATATCTTACAGTGAATCAAGGATGGATTGTGGCTAGCAGTGGAATCCAGGACGCGCGTTTCGTCCTATTTGCTTACCATGCTTGTGAATTAAGACTATATCGAGGCAATACGCACAATATGCACATATGACAATTAGTAACTGACCATTTGCAGTCCTAAGCATCAATGGGAAGATTCAAACAAACAATACTAAGTGAATTTACAGTGATTTAGTTCGAGATACCTAAAAAATATCTGATATAAATGTAATTAAAAGTATACATAATAAATGTTTTTCTTAGAATTAGTGAATGATTTATGCAATCACTATTCTTCATCCATGATAACATTAACCTAGTAAAGTATAAATCAAATCAAGTGTATATGTGTGTTTGATGGAAATACCTGCTGTTTGTATATTTATAAACTGCCGAATATGATATAAATCTTCAACTGTTTAAACTCTTTATCCTTACAGTAAAACAGATATTTTTTTTGGTAAAAAACAAACATCGATTTTACATGTTTCATAATGTATTCCGTTTCATTAATCAAGTTATTTGTGGTTAGAATGTGTCGGTGTGTAATTAACAGAATAATTTGTTCATTTTACCAAAACATGAGAGATATTAGTTAAATATTATTTAAAATAGAGATAATAAATATATTTCTTGTTATAAATCAATGAGTAGTAAAATTGGTGAATCTATAAATTATGGACGACTCTTGAGTGACACTAAAGTGACCACGAGAATGTCCACCTACTTAATAGGGCTAAATGAGGGTTATAAACCAGTGTAAGGAATTAAGATTAATATTTACAGCTGAACGTTAGGGTTACGAATTAAATTTAGAGTTTTCAACACGAATTGACATAAGCTATAATGCCAGAACTCTATTTAGATGAAAATTCAAGACCTATGATCATAAATGTGATTGGTCCGTCCATAAATTATAGTCTTACCGAAAAATTGTATTTCTGACCTTTCGTAACCTAATGTAAGCCCTCTGAAGAAGTAGCTTACATTAAGTTACGATACATCAAAATTAAAATTTTGCTATTCATTAAGATATAATAAAAACTATATTTATTATCTACATTCTACCCAATCCTCAATTTATTTGAACTTATCAAGTTCAACCTTGGTTTTGATACCCACAAACTAACAAAAAGAAATAATTCATATTCTTTGATTGGTTAATCACTGATACTCAATATTCATCTCAAATGTATATAGAACTATCTGTTGAAGCACAGAATATCGACTATTAATTCTTATTGAATATTAAAACCTAAAAATTAATAAGCATCTACCCATAGAATTATCATCAAATTGTATACAATGTACTTTATCAAATAAGTTTTCTTTCCTTTATCTAAATGGTACAATGACGACAAGCATGTGTAAAACTGTTCATTTTTTTGTCCAATGAAAAAAAAATCTCCCAAACAAACAGAATAGTTGTATATTGAAGTAAAAAAAATATGATGTGGAGAAAAATGCCGAATACATTTTTGGTATTCATGAATGAATACAATAGGAAGAGGTATATATATATATATATATATATATATATATATATATATATTTGAAAGAGATTCCATTTGGACATCCATTGAAAAAGCATACAAATGTATCACAAGTAATTATCAAATACATGGCATAAAGTACAACTTAAAAGGGGAAAACAAAATACAAATATTTATTTTTGAAATAAAAATAGAATAATCTTTTTTTTTCTGTATACCAAATCAGATGATACAATCTGGTATGTAATACAAATGTGTTATTATTTCTAATGTTAGAATGAAGTAAATATGAATATTGTCGTATTCATTTGTTTATAGTAATATGATTGCTTTTTTTTGGAAATCTCTAAAATCTTTTAAATATATTTAGTATTGTTTAATTGAATCTTCCCATTGATGTTTAGGACTGCAACTGGTCAGTCTCTAATTGATTTGAAATATCATGTTTCAGTGTTTATATTCTCTTTTTTTTATTTATGTAACTGACTACACAAATTATGATGTAGAGATTTCATGTAATTTTCTTTTAAACTTATTTTAATTATGAATATTGCTATTCAATGGAAAATAACTGAAAATTGAAGAGTTATTCTATTTGATAGTTTTTCTGTTTGAGTTTTGAAACTTTGAAACAGTTAACATTCATAGATTAATAAATAACTAAACAGGAAAAATTTCAGGTATCGTGGAGTACATTTTAATTCAGTTGTTATGATAAAGTATGATAAGTACAATCATATTAGTCAACGAAGATAACCTAGTTCATCAACCAACTTTTAGTCTGTACCTAGTATCCTAACCTCAGTATTTCTTTGTTAATCAATAAAATAAGGACTCCGACCTAAATCTGTCTATTTTAGTCTTATCAATCCGGTACTATTCCTAGCCTTGATATATATAATGTGGCAAAAAGTGTAGTGAACATGCAAATATGTACTATAGATTTCATTGGTTGAGTCGATTCAATTCACAACACAGTCATTTTTGTTATATCCTAGTGAGGAAATAAATACGGGTAACTTCCGGAACTTATTAATGGACAATTATTCCATATATATTCTTATTGTTTAACAATAGAGTAATTAGATTGTGTATATCTATATTCATCTTATTATAAGCTTCATTTTGACCTATGGATTATTATCATACGAATTACTGTCCCTAAATTATATTCCGTTTATTGATTGTTATATCTCACGTTCATAGCTACATTTGGCTTGATCTTGTACAAATATTATTTAGTGTTTTATGGTGCGATGCGGTCTGTCTGTCTGGTATGTAAACCGAATATGTTTGAAATAAATGATTCGTATAGCAGAAGTTGTAATTGGTATTCTGGACTCAATTGGAAGGGCTAGGCGGACAAATGACCGATAAGGACGCTAGACTGCTCATACCAGTTGAACGTCATTGATTGGCACAGTTTAAGATTAGACAAGTCGTATTTCGATTGGCGGATAAATCACCTGATAAAAGCCGGGCATAATACCACAAAAAATCGGCATACGGCCTTGTTCTTCTTTTATAAAGTCATAACAATTTTTGTGATTTTAGTTTGCCTTATATTCTACAAAATCGCAACACATGATTCACAGATCATGAATACAATACCTAGTTACATTGTGTTGAAAAATAAAAACGACAACCATAATATAAAACTACGCTGTGAGAAATGAATGATGAGCTTATTAATTTTATTATTTCCGAGATAATTGTCATATGTAAGTAAAAGTTGACTGGATAATTCATTACGTAATAACATTGAATGTTATTTGAAATTAAAGTACTAGTTGGATAGATTAATCTTCAACAGAATATATCAGAGAATAGATCGAGAATTTCGATTGGATTTATTTAAATTTATTGTGGAATCAATAATAATAATAACCTGTTTGTATGAAAATAGAAGTCAGTACTCGTGTTATGTATTGAATAGAAGTGAGATATAATTAAGTGGTGAGAATATATTGAATTTTCAACAAACTATAGTTAAAAATAGTGAATTACTCAAACTGAGAAAGCATTGTCTAATAACTGTCTCATAGCCAGTATTGAAGAATAATAACTTAATAAGATATTAAGCTCAGTACAGTTTTTTCTTGCAGTTGATACAATACCTTTAGATTACAAAGTGAATGAAAGCCAGTGGTCAACAATTACGATTTCAAACAATTTGTGATATGATACAGTATATTTTAATGTTCAACTTGAATAACCATACAGACCACCTGGTTAGTAATAATAATTGCATTTATTTGTAGTGAGTTTTAATCAGTGTTCATAAAGTTGGGGACAAAAAGTTAACCCAACGATGATATCTTTCGAAGATTGTACCAAATCGCTCGCTGACTAAAATTAAAAATGTTTTTGACATATAATTCTGTTTCAATAGTCTAAGTGTATCGTACATTCTAAAATAAAAAAGAGATATAACAGACGATCCCATCTACAGACGTTGGAGATACATTATTGAAGGGTTCCTCAATGATAATCTCTACCCGATCCATGTTCATTACGTAAAGCACTATTTTCAATGATATACTAAGCTTTTTATTAAAATGTTATTAATTTAAAAATTGATATTATGAATACAATGAATAACTTTCAAATATTACCTTTCTTAATAATTCCAAATCTTTCAGATAAAATGCTGTGTAGAATAGGGAATAGAATGAATTCACAAATTGAAGCTGTTATGAAAAATTACAGAAAAAAAGGAAAAAGTGCAAAAAATTATCTGAGTATTGGATTATTTGTGTTAAAATACAGTGAAAATGGTAATGTTGTTGGTAAAAAGAAAATAACGACATATTCAACTCCCCTCCACATACAAACACACACACCTGAAAAGTCAGTATGAACTATTCGCTAACATTCGTTATTTTCAAGGGTTTTAGATTGTACATATTTTATTGAGCATAACCAAGTTATAGAGTGGTTATGAAAAATTTCTATTGGATGATAAACCAGTACTCAATGTTTAGAGTAACCAATATAATGTGTGTAAAATATAAATACCCCTGTTCTGGTGAACTGGCATTAACAATGTGAACAGGAATCCATGTGAATTCATCAGCAAAATATGTAACCCATGAAAAACTAAACTATAAATGAATGAATAGACCAACATAAGAATATAGGTCAAATACTACGAACATATTGTTGTACTCGTATTCGAACAATACTGTTTATGCAATGGCTTTTTAGACTAATTGGTGTCCTAAATCAAAGTAAGCAGATCAGGGTTTGAACCCGCAACCAACAAATTGAAAGCTAAGTACATTATTTACTAATTCAACATAAGAAAACTTCAAAATAAATGGTAGTCTTAAAAATAGTAAGCAAGATATTCAATTATGATAGAACTGACATTTTTGACTAGGTAAGAAAATACTTGGAGTTTGTATTCTTTAGAAAACTTATAAAGATACTACTCTGTATAGTAAGCAAATCATAACTTAAAAATGAACAATATTTGAGCGAACAATTGTTTTCAATAACTTCATCATCAGGCTCTACAGTTATAAGTCCATAATTATAATATTTTACAAAGTCCAAAATGAGGCATGTATTAATGAATTTGACAATGTTATATGTTAAAAATGGTAAACGTTTGCATCTGTTACGACATATATATACTTTAAAATTGTGTTATTTGTAAATTAGAAAGGTCATTTAATAATAAAGGTCAAAGTGATTTGTAATCAAGTGTCTAGTCACAATCGATTTAATAGTAATTTCGAAAAAATGAAAATGCAAAAAATTGTGTGAATAAAGTGCATAGTAGGAGAATTTCATCTTGTCAAGTGAGATAATAATGATAAATAGTAATAGTAATAGTAATAAGATTGTTGTGTGAATATAATATGTAATAAAAGGGGATGTTATCAAGATAATTACGATAAAGGAATTGGGAATGATGGATGTGAAGATTAAGATAAAGGTGATCAACAAAGAAGAAAAAAAAAAGGGGGGGGGGAGGTTAATAATATTTAGTTTAGGAAACCGGTGATCCAGTCGTAGGCCAAGGTAAACATAGTGGCTGGATATACTTTTTTTGGATGCATAAATTTGGTTTTCTAGAGTTGATCCAGATGGCTTCGGCTATGTAAAGTAATCGTAATCTAGCTCTTTGAGGTAGAGTTTTCGGAACTTAACATAATCATAACTTAACAGAATAGTAGCAAAATGAGTCAAGGAAAAACAAAATACGATTGATTACGTTGATCACAAACTTAACAAGAAAAAAGAGAAAGACCTGTCTTTTTCTTTACAAACATAGTTTGCCGATAAATGACCTAGACATCTTTTTAGTGTATATCAGTACGTTCTGGACAGTTAAGAATCATAACTTTTTTAAAACTTGAAATACCATCGTTTTCAGTCAAGAAAACATATTGAGAAAAGAATTTATAAACGGTGAAGATTATATTGTTACAAGTGAAGATTTATACACACATACAATAAAGATAGCCGTAAATAGTGAGAGACATTTTACTACAAAGAGTGATAGTCACAGTGTTTATTAAATCACAGAGTAATTGTTTCCATGTAATAACTATATCCCTTTTTAGCCAAACAAGTTTATTTATAGCAATATCTATCGATCACTAAATAAATTGTCCAATTATATCTTCGTATCGATTAATATTGCAAAAAAAATATGTAAACACGAGAATAATACCTCTAAGCAACAGTTATTAATTGTTAACTCATGGGTATACTTATAATTCAGGATTATATAGGATAAAATTACTATTATTTGTAAATCTAAAGATAATGAACTCCAGTTAAACAATGAATTTCTGATACACACAGGGACACTGGTACAATAAGTTGACAACTAATAAACCAAAATGAATTGTAAGTAACTGTTACGACAAGTAGTGTCCGAAAGCTGATACTGGTACGCATTCTTCCTATACGTAAGCTCGGGTAATTGAGAGAAAAAACAAAGAGTGAGGAAAGAAGTTTATTTGAGTTAAATCGGTTCATGTGTCGATGTACTCTTTTATATTATATCTGGGCTGTTTATATCTCGTACCTCTCATAAAAAAGCCCCTCCTTGGCCAATAACATGCATTTGTCATTTTGGTGATTGCTGATTAACTCAATGTATCAGTAACAATGATCTCCCTTGAAATATCAAACAGTGACCAATTCAACTATTGTACAAAAGAGTTCAGTTTATTCAATAGCACAAACTTAACTGTAAAAAAAACCCAAGTATCAAGTAGATGAAGAATAAGTTGATAACACCTATATAACATTGTTCTGAATCATGAATCTATCATGCGATTTACATCAAGTAACTGCATATTTCATTGAGCAGTAATATTTAAATTAAGAAAAAAAATTTAATTACCAAGTATAATTCCCAGTTCATTTTATATGCTGTGAAATTAATTAGTATTTCGTAGCGTGAATGTGTGAAAGTATATAATTTTGATTTTATAAGTGAACCGACAATTTAGGTTATTATTAATATTATTCTGAAAAAAAATTCATATCTCTATTGATTGATCACTGGGTGGTAATAAATGACATGCGTGTCGAGTCCTTCTTAATGCTGATCGAATGCTATCTATCGAGTTGCAATGTGGCCACCAATCTAGGTGGCTCGACACTGCGTGCACTATGTTGCGATAAGATGGTGGCTGGAGGTGGTTAATAGGAAACCCTGGACCCGGCTTTCGTGCTACTTAGTCGGTAACGGCCCGAATAGCTCAGTTGTAACGTCTTTGACTGTGAAGCTGGGTGACGCGGGATCGAATCTGTCAGGGAGCACCACTCCCCTCAAGATTACAGGTGCACCTTGCTGACGAGTGCCAAGTAGCACGAAACCCGGGTCTAGGGTTTCCTGTTGACCACCTCCAACCACCATCTTATATTCATATCTAAACAGTAATTCCGCATTTTGTCTCATTTTAGCAATATCCCAATTATTTAACTATATAAACATTGTACATGGGTATTAGAATAAAATAATCTATTGGAGAAATTTCACAATGAGATAATTTCATTTACAGAAACAGTAGAGTTGTATTATGTGATAATAGGTATGTTTAGTTATGTAGTGAATGGAAGTCATAGAGTGTAATTCTTATTTATAAAAACAAGATAATTCAGTAAATAAATTATTCAACCAGGTCTGTTGGGAGATATCAACTTACTGAAGACATTGATGAATCGTTGCTCAATTTTGTGGATTGGTTGAAGTTAGACATTAACACCGTTGGATGCCGGCCAGCTCAGTGGTCTATCGGTTAAGTGCTCGCGCGCGAGACTGATTGGTCCTGGGTTCGAATCTCGAGAGGCGGGATCGTGGATGTGCACTGTTGAGGAGTCCCACAATAGGACGAAACGGCCATTCAGTGCTTCCAGGTTTTCCTTGATGGTCTAGCTTTAACTGACTCATGATCTCAACTATATAATAAATCATTAGACCGATGACAGTAAATAAAACAATATGAGATACAAATAAAATATGCAGGTGTTTCAATTCCCTTAATCAGTAAACTACAACAGGATTGTATGCTCATGTCACGTTCCACCAAGTTTCAATGAATTAACAGAATTATATAATTAATCTCCACATAGATCGTTTTGCTTAAAGCCCAGTAAATAAACATATACTTAGTTACTGAGTTACTATTTTTTTTCTTAAAAAAAATTATACCTACCAAAATCAACTTGACTACATAGTGATTATTGTAGTCATCTTCTAAACGATGATTTTCAAAATCTGTAAGCCAAATCGCTATTTTTTTATAACTAAAATCCATAATTGATATTGATACAGCCAGGAAAATCTAAATGTGAACAAAAATTAAATGTGAACGAAGTATCCATTGATGTAATTTTAAATTAGATTATAAAAACAAATGATCAAATAAAATATAGAATGAATCAACATAAAGAAAAGACATTAACTACAATTTCCCTTAGTATTATGCCTACTATATTCTATGTAAGAATACCCATTAGCCTAATTAGATTGATATATATCACAGAGGAATGTAGCTAATCAATCAGAGGTTTAAAGTTAAGTCCCTATGAGTTAACGTTTTTAAAAAAAATGTTTAAACGATATTTAACTAAACAAGAATTGATTATCGTAAAATCACTATCCAATATATAACATCCTAGTCTTGAAATAATGTATGCTACATATACATTTCAACGGGAATATTAAAATTTCCGCAACCAAACTTACATAAAACGATAAATTTTAAAGGAGACTTCAATGACTTCCTTCTACTAAAAAAATTACATCTGGATTGATAATAATGTTATAAGTCTTTACACTGTGGAGTAGTCCTGTGGTAGGACGAAACAGCTGTTCATCAATTCCAGGTTTTTGATTATTGTCCAAATTAGATCAGTTCGTAATCCTAACAATATAATAATTCAATTAACAAAATTTTAACTTTAAGCATGACATTAATGACTGCTGCATAGTGGCCAGTTAAGTACCTCAGTACCACAAGAGATCAGTTTTGATCTGGATAGCTGACTAAGAGTACTGGTCCTATCAAGACTGACGATCCACATTGCTGACGGGTGTCAACTAACAGCCTTAAGGCATCCCCCCCCTATTACTTTCAATTATCTAGTAACACAGCAATGAAGGAATAATGAAACGAAGTATTTGTTAAGTTTAATAACAGTTTATCTTTATTAGCGGTTATTACCATAATATTCTATGAAATAGACAGTTAACGGCATTCATGATGAAAAAATCGGTATTATGCGAAGATATCAAGAGTGAGCTAAGAGTCATAAATGGTTTGGGAACGTAATTCAACTTATCATTTTCAAGGAGTATTTCGGTAATTTAAGTATATCAGAACCTGTAGATTTTAATAATGTTTCACTCATGAGTCATTTCACCAATAGATTCTTCACACTGGTACTTAATTAAACTTCGTCTTTAATTATCAACAACTTCGCATGATATAACTATGATTCGAATGACTGATGATGAAATCATGTGCTAATTAATAAATTGAGGATTGAACTAACCAATTAATAATAACGAAATAGTGTACATATAATGCAATTTAATATACATTTTGTAAACAAACTTGGATCCAGCACTTTATCAAGACACATACATATTATTCTTGTTACGAGGCATTTTGTTTACCCCGGGTCAATAACAAAATGTAAGGTATGGAATGATAAGTCAATAATTGTGTAACAATGTGTAATTTATTCATTTTGTAACACAAAAGACATTTTACATTAACAGCACATAAGGAAAATAATAGTATAGTTAAGAAATAGAATATTGAAAATTATATTTCCGAATTGAAATGTTCTACCCTCCACATTACTAGTGTAATGAACGAGAACCCAGGCGGAACAGCCGATCTTTGTTTAATACAAACTTACAGAGTTCTTTCGTAAAATATGAAAACCATGCATTAAATACTTCATTTGCAAATCCTCCATCAATTGTCTCAAACTTCATCGTTCGTTCATTGCTATTACAATTACATTCCCGTTTTCTTCTAATCTATCTTCTCAACCTTCTGCTGCCAGGTATTACAATTCTGATTGGCGTGACTTGTGTACGTTAACATAAGTAACATACACCTCACTAGTAATAACCTCTTCAAGTATTACAATGTGTATTAGAGCAATAATTAGGGTACTATTTTATCAATTTTAATAGATGTATGGTTAAGACGCTTGATATGAAAAAAATCGGATAACCTAAAGTAAAGTCAACCCAACATTTACTTCTGATGTTTAAAAACTACAAGACAAGAATATTAAGCAGTAAGAAATATAATTGATGCAAGAGTACAATAGAAAACTAAATCAACATTTCTACCTTCTTCACTCAGCCATATCTGAACGCATCTCAACAGTTATTTAGAGAGTTGTAATGAAAAGGCAGATGTCAATACAATAAGACTATCATTCGTTTCATGGATTAATGTCACAAGCTGATCATATTTTAACCCACGTCACCCAGTCTTAGTTTGAAACCCCTGGCGTTAACGACACGGCATTGTCAAAGAATGCATTCAATCTTTCGGAAACGAAGTCTACAACCATTTTCACCTCAGGCAGACCAGGTTTCACAAGTATACCGTGAGACATTTTACACAGTGACATTTATCAAACAGATATTTGTCAACAAAAAAAGTTACAATTCAATGATTTACACCATACAGGTGATAACATAACTGTACATAAATAAATGTATTGAAGGTTCTGTTGTATGTATAATCAGTTTGTTATACTAAAAAAGAAAATTAATCAATCACAGTTTTAGCACACAACTATTAGCTACTGATGATATAATTTTAAAGCCTTATTAATCTAAACTATAGATAATACATACACATTTTTATCCCATTCAGTATTCTTTACCCAGTAGATCTGACAGTATCTTGGTAACTACTGATACTTTAAGTGAAACGGAAATTCAGTACTCACTGCATCAAATGTCATAAAGGTTATCTGGGATAGTTCTGAAGACAATATATTCATTTATTCATTTAGTACTGAATCCCATATAAATAAATTCCAAATAATAAACAAATAATAAAATAACATACCTTTGGTAAAGTCACCAATATAAAATTTGGTATAATAGATGTATTATTATCAGCATAAATATTCATTTTCTCTTGTAATTGAACATACATCAATGTGATATAAATGACAATAATTAATGAAAATAGAACAATAGGAGTAGTAATAAAGCATAAAATTAATAAACGTTTCCATTTTGGATAAGTACGTATAGGTCTCCCAGTAATTGGGCATAACGATAATGTACCCTAATTTAAAAAAATCAATAGGAATATATAAATAAAAATTCTAAAATGTTGAAATAAAAGATTATGATTTCATTATATATACATATAGATTATATAATAAAGAAATGGAACATCTCAAGTAGGATATCTTTATAGGTTATTCAAATATCAAAGATATGATATCTAGAAATTTGGAGAAATATCTTGAAACTTATAACATATAAATATTCAGTGAATTTCTCATATTTCTTGGGTTGAATTGTACTTTGTTTCGGTGTTGCTTTGTGCTAGTAATCACATAAGCATCCTTATATTCATTAGGAAAACAAAGAAAAACGTTACATAGTTTATTTAGGTCAGACTAAACAGCTTTTATAAATGTGCATCAGGTTCAATTACTCACAATTCACATCAGTACAAAGAGACAAAATTAACATGATATATAGTAAAAATGTCGAATTAATGGTACTGTCTGTGATTGTGGAAAAGAGCAGATCATAGAGAACAGTGAATTGGGATTATAACTAACACAGGAGTTCAAGATATGCGTTTCGTCTTATTTTGAACTCATTAGCTGGATAGATATATTAATGAGCTAAAACTTGTAGCGGAAAGATTACATCGAGACATTAACTAACGGTGTACGTGGGTCACCAAAAACTGATCATAATGTAGTTCTGCTTATCAGTAACATGATAATACTTTTACGTAAAAACGTAGGAGATTTAGTTCGAATAAAAAAATGGATTAAATCAAGGAATAAGAAAGTTAAGTAATTTTTTAACTTGAGAAAAATAAGTTATGGATGATTGTACGCCACTGTGATCAATATTCATCTACCCTCCAATGAACTTACTCATTTAAGCAGTAACACTTTCTTTATATCTCTGTATTATTATCGTTATCATGTTCATATGAACACATATCCTTGATAAAGTGCCACAGCTTACACAAATATCCCTCTTACTAACTTAAATATTTGTTGCTTAAATCGCTGGATAACTCATTCGCTTTCCCATACATATGTACTTAAATCTTAGCAGTTCACTTGAATCCTAGTTCGCTCGCTCGCATTCACATTTCTGCTTGAATTCGCCTTGTGATCCTGTGGCTTAGTGATCTGTTCTGTACAATGATAAAGTGCTGTCAATACTGCATATTATCTTCTGAAATTTACAAACTGTTCAGAGTTATCTGGTGACAGTTATCAGGACGAGCGGTATATAGAGCCTTAGGAATTGTCTCGAAGATAATTCACTACAACGACCTTAAAACTTCAAATGAGAAATTAACAAAAAGTAAAACTATTGGTCAGTGAATACTCTTAACAGAACTCTTCGCTGAACCAATCTTTCTTATTTAATGTCTTAATAGACGTATTCTGTTTACTAAAAAGTTAAAACTGTCATTTTTTCAAGCGTTCAGACAAACTAGGTTTTAGGAGAATGTGAATAAGAAATTTTTGCATAGATAAGGCTTTGACAGTTCGTGTTTTGGTCTCTGTTTCAAGACGGGCTATTTGAAGTCATTTATTTTACCATGGCCTTAATATCCTACTTAGTAAGCTTTTTTGACATGTGTTCGTTCTCTCAACCATCTTCATTGTATTCATCATGTAGACAATTACCTTTCAGACCTGACTTCTATGTATTATTTCCATTCTACTAAGTACCTTATTTCAACACTTGAGGTTTTTGAGCAACTTTCGGTATATTTATCAATGACTCAAGCATTTACTACTATGTGTAAGATAACTATGAATACCACCGTACAGTTTTAATAAATGGACTAGCAGAAAAGAAAACTTTTCGTCAATCTTTATGTACCTTATAAAGAAATGATTAATAAGCAGTATGAATCATAAGTTAATTAATAAATAATTAAAAGTGAAAACGAATGTCACAAAACAAAGAATAACTGACCCAGTTCTGTTCGTTAAGCAGAGGCGCACAGAACCCATATCATCAATGGTTGCATGCCACGTGTGTGTATACGTGTGTGCAAAGTGAAATACATCTACGAATAGTCTATAATTAATTTATCTCTTATTTTAAACATTTCTGATAACTAGAAATAAGTAGTTCATCAAAGGTGTTATTAACGATAGGATGCTAAAAACTCTCTATAAAAAATATTTTTAAATTATGTTTTCTTGGGATACAATAAAACCATTGAGTTGTGTGCATTAGGTTTATGCGAATTACTTTAGTGGATTTAAAACGAAAAATACTGGACTTCAGATGTAATGTGAACTTTAACACTAAAATCCGTGTAGATCCAGCTAATGAGTCTCACAAATAGGACGAAATGTATGTCTTCAATCCAACTGTTAGTCACAATCCAATTATTCTATAAGATTTTGTTTAGATAAGTGGATAATAATACGATAAGGAATAAAACGAAGATGATAATACTAATACTGATACTAATACTGCTAATAATAATAACAGTAATGAAAATGTCTTCAGTGAGTGAAAACAAAAATGGTAAATAATAGATTACAATAATTCTTATTATATATATAATAAAGGGAAATTCTTACTTTAAATAATGGCCTAGGCTCTTCTAGTAATGAAATCGGTGTATCCCATGAACTCCAGCGATAAGCTAAAAATGAACTAGTCCTTTTCCAATGTTCCAGATATAATGATGTCCATATTAAATTGATAATAGCCATTAATAAATAATAAAATGAGGAATTTTTCTGTATTTAAATTAAAAATAAAAAGGTGTATGAGAGAGAAAGGGGGAGAATGATATTGTGTTGAAAAGAATCTTGTGATAAAAAAGATAAAGGAGTTTTCTAACTAGGTGGCTTTGTGAAAATTATGTGAAAGTTGAACCCAATGCTTACTTTGAACTGATGCGTCAGCTAAAGAAAAGTCTTAAAGGTACATCGTAGAGATAAATAGTTGTTCGATCGTAGTCTCAAACTCCTTAACAATGTACTTTTTCACTCTACCACGATATGGAACAGAGAACTTTCAGATCTCCTGGCGAAAACAATAAAAATGTAGTACTTAATGGTTAATATGATCTCATTCGACCATTTGATAAGACAGATCAGAATTACACGGTCACATTATTGAGTTGTGAACTACAGTGATGTGATCCGCAAAACTAGAAGCCTGAACAAATTACGGAAGCTATTTTCGGGGACGTTAATTCATTTAATTCAAAGCTTGTAAAACTATAACATTTACTTTTGCCCCTAGCCTATTCTACAGATCATAAGCTTTCGTTTGATGTATAATTCATTACCATAGCATTTTCTGCCCTAAAGCTATTGTCACTTAGACGTAATCTTTTGTACCCTATTTTCTACTATAATTCCCCAGTTTTGGACATGATTGTATTTTTCTAATTATTGTACGTTGTGGTCCGCTTAGTCATCTATTTATTCATGTAACTTTTCACCCTAATCTGAATTGGGAATTCGAGTGCTAGATCGGGTTGGAATAAAGTGATTAGTGTTCCGTCTGTCTTGTCTTCTCTCTCTCTCTCATGCTTGCCAGCCAATCAGGGACAGAATAGTTTTCGTCTCTCTACCCCTATTTCGAACTCACGCATATTGGCCTCAAGGTTAAGCCAGTCAGTCTATCGTGTCAAGGTCTTAATCTACATTATACTCGGCACTAAGTGGGTAGACAGATTCAAGGACGTAACATACAGTTTAATGGTTATTCAGTGGTCCTGTATTAGATATCCCTGTGTATGGTGAAAACCATCTTCGAATTATTTTCTGAAACCAATAGATTTGTTAAGAGAGTCTTATTTATGATAGAAATGATGTGTGTCACATATAGAAGACGTACTGATAGAACCAAATATTGAAATACATTACATAACATTTAACTTTGTAAGCGAGTAACCGTTTATCTATTCAAGTATAAAGTTAGGTCAGTTATATTAAAGTCAGTGTATTAATACTTTTGCTTTTTATTACAAATCATATACATATTAATTTAGAGCCATGATGTATGTTTCCGCCCTATTTTTCTGTACAATAAAGCTTAGATAGAAAACTTTTATTACATGGAATACAGCTAGAATGTGAAATTACATTCATTTAAATTTGCATAGTATACGCACAAAACGATGTAGCCACAACTCGAGTAAATTACTTCATAACTACTGATATCAAAGCATTATTGTGAAAGATTTTCCAGATTGTAAATAAACTTATTGACCCACTCATTGAACTATTATTCGTATAAACTAATATGACTGTATACAGAGAACGAAATTAGATTTAGTACTGATTTAGTCAGAGTCAACCAATAAATAAATAACTTAGCTAAAACGTGTCAAAAATTTTAATCTACATCAATCACCTAGTAAACAACGCCAAAAAACTGATAGGAAAAAAGAAAGGATTATCAATAGTGATTTATCAAGCAAAAACTCACTATAGTAAAAAAGCTTTATTAAAAATGTACACAGAACAGAATGGGTTTTGTCGAGATTTCAGTATTTTCATAGTTGAAATCATGAGTCAACTGAAGCTGGACCACCAAGGAAAACCTGGAAGCACTGAAAGACCGTTTCGTCCTATTATGGGACTCTGTAGTGCGTATCCACGACCTCGCTTCGAGAGATTCGAACCCACGACCTACCAGTCTTGCGCCAGAGCACTTAACCGATAGACCACTGAGCCGGCATCCAACGGTGTTAATGTCTAACTCCAACCAATTCACGAAGTATGAGCAACCGTTCATCAATTGTCTTCAGTGAGTTATCTCACAACAGACGTGGTTGAACTCCACTGACTCATGATTTCAACTATGAAAATACTGAAATCTCCACAAGATCTCTTCTGATTATAATCATATGCTTACTAGTGACTGACTTCAAGATATATGTCCTGGAGTTCTAGTGAGAAGCAGTGACAAGTTGAATTCAAACCACGTCTGTTGTGAGATAACAACTCACTGAAGATAACTGACGAACGGTTGCTCAAACTTCGTGGATTGGTTGAAGTTAGACATTAACACCGTTGGATACCGGCTCAGTGGTCTATCGGTTAAGTTCTCTGGCGCGAGACTGGTAGGTCCTGGGTTCGAATGTCGCGAGGCAGGAACGTGGATGCGCACTGCTGAGGAGTCCTACAATAGGACGAAACGGCCGTCCAGTGCTTCCAGGTTTTCCATGATGGTCTAGCTTTAATGGACTCATGATTTCAACTATGAAAGAACACAAAACATTTCAACAGAAAACAGTTGGTCGGCAAAAAAAGTGTCATCAATAAAGATGTCCTATCCAAACTTCCAACAAATTATGAGCAATTGATAAAATGAAGCAAAAAGATGAATGTTTTCTATATATTAAATTAATATGACGACATTAAACAAGTCTATTTCATCAATCCATAAAACTCTTGAAAAATAACCATCTTGTAAAATGAAGTAAACAAGTTAAGGAACATGTAACTGCCCTTCATTCGAAAACCAACCTTAAGAATTTTAGGAATTATCCTATCAAAACAATCTTGTCATTTAATCTGTGAAAACCAGATTACACTAGAGCGTTATAAATGGAAGATCAACTTAACAATACTACTTAAAATCAATACTAAATACAAAATATCAAAAATCAATAATAATAATAATAATAACTTACGTTAGGACTAACAAATAACCAAACAGCAAGTCCAACAACTGATGGAAATATTAATGAATATGTATAGTGGCCAAGCCATGCAAAATAGAATGCAACTTTTGTACCAAAATATTCTTTAATTTCATCTAATGGTTGTAGGACAACCCAACGACGAATCCAAATACTAGTTAATTTATTTAATTCGTTTGGTTCATGTAATGGGAAAATTTGTAAGATAACACCAGCAGATTGAAGAGATGGAACTAAAATTAAATACAGAGCATTTTATGACAATTTTTAATCTCTGAATCAGTATATATTGGGGATTTTAGATCCTCAGAACTCACTTGGTAAATGCCTTATTTTTCTAATTATATTTTAAAATTTTGGGTTTCTTGTTTTTGCGCCAAAAGCGCACATTTTCACCTTGATGTCATATTTCCCACTTGGAAGGATCTTAAACGCTATTGGTTCGTTGTATCTTTTAGTATGCTATTTTGTAACGCTTTCCAAGGACAATTTTATGCTGCATATATACGTTTGATTTGTGCCTGTTGTGATTGCTTGTGCTTCTGGCTGCTTGCGGAATATATTTTCCCACTTTGGACTTGGACTTCTCACTCTAGTTAGCGAAGCTGGGACGAGTCAGAATAGCTAGCTTATTGGTCTTTGGTCATAGAGTCTTTGTCTCGTTCCCAGATTAGAGAACTCGTAATCGCTTCAAACATAACAGTATAAATACTATTCTCACAGGTTAACTATGTAAAACAATATTTAAATCTAAAATGACTTTGTGGTTAAATCATTTGAATTTCAATCATTGGATTGGAGTCTCAAATAGCTTTACAACCGCTTCAGTTTGACACACCAGGAAGTGTTGTCAACCCTAATACACATACAAACGTATTATTGAAAACACGAATCGACTTGAGTTAAACAAATGTTTAAAAGCTGGAAGCATTGGATACTTACTCAGTCCTAGCATGGGACCACTAAGCGATACTGAGTGCTCATCTTTTAGTGTTTTCGAAGGGTACCTTCCTTATCCCAGTATTCGTGTTGTCTATTGTACTATTAAAACTTGGATTAATGTTAATTTGGTTATTTATTCTCTGAAGAAGTGGCTTACACTGAGTCACGAAACGTCAGAAAATCTAATTTTTCTACTGATTGGGATATTACAAAAATATTATTTATTTATAACAATCTACCCAATGCTCAATTCATTCAAAATTATCAAATCAAAACTTGGTAATGATATCTACAAATTCGTTAGTCAATAGTTTCGAGAGGAAATTTTCCAAGCCCTAGTGAGAAGGCGTAAGCATTGAGACTTCACGCTGTCATGTGTGAGGAAATCACCCACCGAAGACAGTGGTAGATGGTTACGCAATATCGCGGATTGACTGAAATTAGACTTCTACTTCATTGGATGCGAGCTCGGTCGTCAAGTGGTTAGGTGCTCCCTTCGAGACCAAAGGTCCTGTGTTCCATACTCGGTGGGGAGTTGTAGATGCGCACTGCCGAGAAGTCTCATGCAAGGACGAAATACCTGTCCAATGCTTGCAGCTTTTCAATGGCCGTCTAACTTAGATCGATTCGTGATTTCAATAACAAGAAATAATCTCCATAACCTTATAGTGATAATTAACTCATAATCGAAGTCCTACTGTGTAGCCATGAAAGAGGAGTTAATCATACAGAGAGTAAGACAGTAACTCACTGAAGAAAGCACATAAAAGAAACATCTATTTAAAAATGGAATCAGATTATCCAAAAACTCTCTTCATCAGAAGTATGTTTGTTGATTTATTTATTATTGAACCTCACCCTTAAAACAAGGAGATTAGTGGATTCATCTGCATGGAGAAACATGTAAATAAAAGAATTGTAAAAACAATAAAATACTGACAAGTTTTACATACTTGGTATGAAGCCGTTAATGTCGAAAGGATATTTATCAGTAATTATCATAAGAATTTTCTGTATGAGGTTATGGAGATTGTTGAATTTTATCAAAGCCGTGAACCAATCTAAGTTAGACCATCTTTAAAAATCTGAAAGCACTGTACGGCTATGTCGTGATAGTATGGGACTCCTCAGTAGTGCACATCTACGACCCCGCACGTGGAAACTGAACCAAGGATCTTCGGTTTCGCATGTGAATACTCAGCCTCTAAATCACTGAGCCGGGATTCAGCGGTGTTGGTGTTTAACCCCGATCAATCCACGACATAACACGACCATTTTCCACTGTCTTCGATGGGTAACTGCGTCATAGCTGACATGGATTAGCTCCACCAGTCACGGCTCCTCACTAGAACTCCAGAAATTTCCTCTCAAAGCTTGCCACTGGTGAGGATGTGATAATTTTCTGTATGGGGTTGTGGAGATTTTTCTAATTTCATTGAAATCATAAACTAATCTAAGTTCGACCATCATTAAACGAAACGTCTGTTTAGTGATCGCAGGTTTTCACTAGTCGTTTAACTTAGATCGGCTCAAGATTTCAATAAGAATTTTGTTAAAACCAACAGTACCTGCAATTGTTGGTTTGTATTTTTATCCCTGGTCTTATTTTACCATCACTCAGTATTAGTTCTTTTATGTCACAGTGACTTAAGTGAGAAAATAAATTAGAGGATACATGTACAAAAAACTCATAAAATTGTCTTTTTATAAATTCATGTACAAGTAGACTCAATCCTGAGCTATTACATCTCTTAGGTAAACGAAAAAGCATGTTTATTATTTAGTTATTTTACTTAATAATTGCTTTGAGCATAGTTTAATAAAAGCCATATAATTTTTGAAGTTTAAGCAATGTTGAATTTCAATGATTTAGGCAATTATGTTAGAATCATTTAGTTGTACCTTTAAAATTTATATTTCTACTTATAAAGTTTTGAAAAGCTGGATGAAATCATTAACATGTGGATATTCAGTATGTCTAAAAACATATAATATAGTTATTATCAGAAGGGGTTTTGTGGAGATTTAGTATTTTCATAGTTGAAAGCGTGAGTCAATGCTCACTAGTGAGTCATATGATCACTGGTGACTGACTTCGAGAGGTAAATCCAGGAGTTCTAGTGAGAAGCAGTGACCAGTGGAGTTCAAAACCACGCCTGTTGTGAGATATCAACTCACTGAAGACAATTGGTGAACGATTGCTCAACTTCGTGAATTGGTTGGAGTTAGACATAAACACCATCGAATGCCGGCTGTGTTCTAGTGGTTAAGCGCTCGCTTGCGAGACTGATAGGTCCTAAGTTCGAATCTCGCGTGGCGGGATCGTGGATGCGCACTGCTGAGGAGTCCTACAATGGGATGAAACGGCTGTCCAGTGCTTCCAGGTTTTCCATGGTGGTCTAGCTTCAATTGACTTACGATTTCAATCATATAAAATCTATTTTATTTTCCCAATCATTTTAAATTCATATATGTTTAAAGAGATCTATTTGCTTCAAACATGAATATTTCTATGATTCGTAATTAATTTGGCGTATTCAATGAAAAGAGTATTCTTTGTTTGTGTTGTTGTTTTGTTTTTTGTAAAAATAAAAAGTAGTCGGAATTTTAAGGATTCTTTTTGTTTTAAAACCAACTAGAAAATAGATAAGTGAATTTCCGTAATATTCTATAAAAATTTTATCATACTTAGATATTTTATGAAACAATATTGAATAGTTTTTATTTTGTATTTTTTGTTTGAATCTTATTAATATTTAGGACTGCCATTGATTAGTCTGTTATTGGTATATGTGCATCCTGTGAATATTGCCTCGATACTGATTTAAGTTACAAGTGCTAAACATTAATTAGAAGCAGTGAAAAGCAGTGACCAGTGGAGTTCAAAACCACGCCTGTTGTGAGATAGGAACTCACTGAAGACAATTGGTGAATGGTTGCTCAACTTCGTGGATCAGTTGAAGTTAGACATTAACACCGTTGGATGCCAGCTCAGTGGTCTATCGGTTAAGGGCTTCGGCTCGAGACTGGTAGGTCCTGGGTTCGTATCTCGCGAGAGCGGGTTCGTGGATGCGCACTGCTGAGGAGTCCCATAATAGGACGAAACGGCCGTCCAGTGTTTCCAGGTTTTCCATGATGGTCTAGCTTCAATTGACTCACGCTTTCAACATTGATAAATACTAAAATCTCCACAAAACCCCTTCTATAATCAATTAGAAGATTTAAACAATCAATACAAAATGAATTTACACTTCACCCCATTGCACAAGCTAGTGGTTATCAGGAATAGGTAGCTAAGTGGATAACGTGGTGGTGTTTGAAGTGAACAGTACTGGGTTCGAGGCTTTGAGTGAATTCATCCGGCGAGCCCCAACTAAGACGAAACGTGTGTCCTGGATTCCAATCCTGACCACCATCCATCTCTGAATATAATATTGAATAAGATATTTAGATTGACATCAAAAGAAATAATTTATGATAACAATATATACTTTGAAGAAAACCAATACATCCAAATTAAATAAACTATTTCTGATTTAAATTAAATCACGGAACTTACTCATACATTGATCATTATCAAATTTAACAGAACACATATCCGAATCTTCACGACAAGCACGTAAACTCATCAGAAAATGATGAACAATATTACTACGTTCACTGGTAGACAGGAAAAGTTTCTCATCCATCACATTGTCAAATAAACTGAATTCGTCAACTGAAAATTCACGTAAGCCACCACCATGTTCAGGTAACAGAGACTTTTTAATTCTTAATTCTTCAGCACCTGTAAGTAGACTTTATTTTCAAAATATAAATACCATAAGAATATGCTACTATTAGCTTTTTATAAATAAAGTAGTATGAAGTTTACTACAACAATATGTCATTGCATAGAATCATCAGAAAGATAGTGTACTTCATTCGATGATGAGACTCTCATTATTAAGTGCAACTACATTACGATTAAACTAAAAAGGTGTTTCACTCATTACAGTTTGAATTCAACCACAGTATGTGGAAGTCCAATGCAGCTAGACAATGTAGATTCTGCAAATGACCTAGCTCTTCTATCCCATATACATCAACAAATGCAGGTCAAGACAACCATTGTAGCAGCGGCCTCAACATGCACAAGGGAAAAAGCAACATCCTTAAATACAGCACAGAGAACACCAACCCAATCACGCTTAATGGAGAAACTCCGGAAGAGGTGGAAACTTCCACGTATAGACAAATAATTGGACACAAGCATGCGTCTCAACTTTAATACACCTATTAACACGTTTCTGAAATGTCTGTAGTTGATCACTAATTGTTTTATAATACATTACTTGATCTTACAAACTAGGATCATGAAAATAATCACATCAACTTTAAGGGAGGTTTAAACTTATTGAAGTTTTTCAAATTTCCCTGCATCGAAGCTTTCACGCTGAATGATTTTGTTACTTCTTTTTCAAGTTTGAGTATAACATGTTTTTTAAATGACGTTTTTCGGTATAAGAGGGACATTTACGAAAGCTCAACCTTTCGTATTAAAAATTGTTTATTCTCTTATATCAAAGTTTCTAAATAAACGAAACATAAGGCCATAACCTTGAAAATCAGTACCTCTAACAGAGTATTTGCTATTTCTTCCAGGTGACATACTCATAGTATGCACCATTCTAATAGTCTGAAAATATTCTTACATTTTACACATGAACAAGTGAATTAACAAAACTCAGAACACTACATTTTCATTATTGGTTTAAAAGTAAATAACAATAATAATAGTAAAATTAATTACCCAAAATTGTTAGAAAGACTGAGTTTATTAAAATGTTGTGTTGATCAGGTGACAGAGGTGTATATCATGTGCTTATAAGTTGCGAACAATAAATTCAATATTTATTCTACAACTCAATAATGTAGCGATTAAGTACTTTTTTATTGTGTTCATACATTCAATATGAAAAACTCATATCAAATGAATACACTTTACGATCAATTAATGAACTATAAGTCGAAGAATGTACTAATACAATATGGACAATTAGAAGAACCTTTACCTAAGTACACATGCTCCTAGCTATACAACTTAATTGGAACACTAATTCTTACTTTTTTTATGAGCAAAAGCGTAAAACTGAACTATACAAAGCCGATGATTTAACAATGTATAATTTATAACAATATTCAGAAGTATAGGAACACGGATATAAATAAAATGATAGAGAAGACTTGCAGATCAGATGAATGCTGCATTCTCTCAAAAAGAAAGTCTGATTTTAGAACTTTCATAACATATTCTACGCCTACTGCATCTGAAAGTTAGCTTCCTGAATGTTCATGCAGTAGAGCCGATACAACAGAATTCATTTAACAACTGACTAGTCATTATTTTATTAACCTTAAAACAAAACTTTCTCAGATAAATGAGTGAATGTCTAAATAAAACAAAACAAACTGATAAGTAATGTAAATAAACCCCGGCAAATCCCCATTAAAAATAGCTATCCCCAAATTTCATCGACAGGAAATTGAAGTTAAAAACAACAACTTGGAAGATCCCGTAGTAAGAGTAAGATTCTTTCTATGAACACCAGTTTCTAATCGGATATCATGTCAGAGATCCTGAGAAACAGACCCCTAAATATATTTTTAAAAAAGGCATTCAATCCTGCTGAGCTTCATATCGCCTTTTTAATTGGCCTATGATCAATGAATATGTAGAAGATGAACTCCTGGTTTGAACGACATAAATGTCTAACTACAGGTTTGTGAAGGAGATTACATCCAATGCACGAGTAAATTGCTCTCTAAATACATCTCTAATCATCACTCTGTTTTGCTGTCGGTAAAAGAATGTAGGTTAGTCAACGACTCGATTTTTGAACACTTCATCAACACTGATTACTATGTCACACTAAAATTATCTCTTAAAATAATATGTACAATCAGAAGAATGGGGTCGGAAGGATAGAGAATAAAAAATGTGTGCATTACAGAGGTTTCAGTGGTTCAAGTCTGAATTCTGTGTACAAAAGTAGTATCTTCCATTTTTCAATCTACCATACACTTAATACCTTCACTCATTTATTTATTCATACCGGTTGCTTTTACGAACTTGAACTTCTTATTAGTTTAATGTCTTCCTCTCCATATTTTTTCATTTTAATCAAGTAAACAATAATTTCTCACATTTATTTGTAATTTTTCGTATTTTCCACTAATCAAGACCATTATGCAGCCTCCTTTGATACCTGAAATTTTTGAATACTTTATGACATAGTACTACTAGATTTTTTTAACATACTACTATATACACTGGATAACCATTAAAAAAAAAGATTTTACACATTTGATCAACTACACTACCGAACAGATTCTTTTCTACCCTAAACCATTTTCATTTCTAATGATAAGTTTTACCATTTTCAGATAACTGTTTAGATGGAATGGACATAAACATTGTCCTTAGATAAATTCATTCGTATAAGGAGTTCTTGAGATTATGACAATAAGCAAAGATGACAGAATAACAGATGAGCCAAATGAGAAACAATTCTAGACTTTAATTTGTGTATCAATAATTTTTTGCAGAATATAGATCATTTGGATACAATTATGTTATTAATTAGCATGCCGATTCTTATGAGATGTTTTCTTTACTTATTTTCGCTCACTTTAAAGACAGTGAATTCACTTTGGTCTTGATAGCCAAAATTTATTGATGTACTTTGAACAACAATTTATATATTACTATCAATCCATACTACTTATATGAATTTCAGATAAAAGAAATATGAATAACAGTCAAAAACCGGTTTAATAAGTAGTGTGCATGCTCACTGATGAACTACACAACAGTCTTATTATGAGTCGGAACTGAACTTCATATCGTTTAATTAGATAAGATTATCATGTCTTACATAAAGTTTAGTTTAAAGCCTAGTGAACAAACATTTACTCAGTTATTCAGTTGCATCACTAATTATCAAAAAGTCTTTTTATCTACCAAAAAACAAAGATAATTATATCTTATTCAGAAAACTAGTGTAATCACGACGAGATCTAACAATCTCAATAATCATGTTTATTAATTTGTTAGTTACTAAGATTAAAACTGTTCCAGAATTAAATTCATTCACATATTGGTTGACTAATTAATGAAGTAAAACCGAAAAACAAATCAAGATTAGAAAAACCACCCTTCCTGTTTGAAAGAGTCAACTACACTTGCGGATTAATGCCCCAATGTACTTGATTACTAAATATGTGTACATATTAAATGAATAGTTAGATTCACTACCTAACATTTTAGCACGAAGAATTTGTGCATACTTAAAGCCTTATATGTATCTGTGGTCTGGAATTTTAGACATAAGACTACTACTAAGTACTAACCGGTGTCCAAGTTTTGTTTCACATTTTATGATTCTTTAAGGCAGTAAGTACTGCAAGTGTAACCACAAAAATGATTTACAATTTAGTCAATGAATCTTCAGGCTCGCGATCAGCTCTATTTGTTATAGGTATTTAGAGACAGTAAAGTGTTATTCTGCTTTTTTCATAGACAGAAATGTAAAAATACTGTTTAAAATTCAAAAAAATATCAAAGATTTGGTATGAATGAGTTTGAACTATGTAAAGCACCGCATTGTTTCACACAAAAAATCAAGAGATCATTTTTGTCGGTCTTTTAGCAAAGTTGTTTCTCATTCTTGAATAACCTATAAAATAATCAAAAACGTGTTACAGTGGTTTTATTACATTTATGTAAATGAAAAAGTGTTCGACAGTCAGTAATTTGGTTTTAATCTATAAAATGGTTCCTACTAGTTACGTTAGTTTACTAAACAATCTCTTATTTTAATTCATTTTCGTATTGATTATTTGAATCTTCCCATTGATTTTTAGGATTGCAATTGATCAGTTTCTTACTGACATATGTGCATCCTGTGAAGATTGTCTCGATATTGCCTTGAATCACAAGCATTACAAGCAGAGGTAGATGGTGACTAGCAGTGGAGTCCAGGACGCACGTTTCGTCTTATTCGGGACTCGTCTGTTGAATGTACTTACATCTCAGAGTTGATATTCACTTTAAGACTCGAACCCAGTACCGTTCGCTCCAAACACCATCGCGTTATCCACTTAGCTACTGAGTCCAAATAGCCACTAACGAAACAAAAATATCAATCTTCCTGGTGCTTTATTAACCAATACATTTTGTTCAGCATATCTATCACTGACTGAAAATTAGTAAAAACGTTGAACTCTAGAATGATAGTGTCTTGTTTAAAGGTCCCCAAAGAATCAGAACAGTATAAGGAAAAGAACTCAGTGAAAGGAACACAAAACAACTAAGCAAAAGGTAACGGAATATGGGAAAAGTGCAACTAGAGTGAATGAGTGATCGATGTTGGAAAAAGAACAAAAAACTATCCATTTACTGCTACTAGTATCAAATTTGAATATAAGTCTCTTCGAATTAAAAAAATCGATTCCCACCATTCTAGAAAATATGATGAGAAGGATTAAATCGCCAAGATAAACTCAATAAATAAAGCCGTTTCATGGACCAGCCTTCTGTTTTGTACTGACTACAATGAAATACAACACATCAAGTCCAAACAGTGATATATTCCAATTAACTTAGCTCATGCTGACACGCCATCTCCCCAATCAGTTTATATTAATCATTTAAGAACAAGATAATTTAATTTTTAATTCTACAAACACAGGGAAATATTTTGAAAGCATTAATGATCAATTACCGATTTATATTCATCGGTAAGTCTTATAAATCAAATTACACAGACCGACTTGTTATCTTATGTATATTTAAAACTATTTATTAAAAAGGCATCAGCGATGAGAATTATTTTTTTACGTTTTAAATTCAGGCGGAAACTTCATTAATATTTCTGAAAAATTGGATTGAAATGACTGTGTTTACTTGAAGCTATAAGCTAATTAACATTGACTCACGAAAAAATCCTTTAAATATATTTATATAATAACTGTAAGTCTGTACTTGAATTCATATATGTCCCCACAAAAATAAAATAAAATATAACTGTAGTGCGTTATGTCCGATAGATTAAAGCGAACATATCACATGAAATGAACTGGGTGAACTCCAGTAAACTTTAATCATGAAATTCGTCACCTATCCTGGTGAAAGTTAGTATTTGATTTTAAACCAAACATTAAGCCTAATAATAACTTTTGCGAGTGATTACATGTATAATTAGATCGAATTCAATGGAAAAATACAGTGTTACCAAGGCAACAGAGTCATATAAGGGTAATAAGGGACATAAATTTTACACCTATATATTAATTATGCGAGGTACTTAAAAACATATCCAGCTTACCCTATATACGAAGCAGTTAAATAAAGCGCATACTGTCTTGATGTGCGATGAAACTGTTTATGTATAACCAGTTGAGGTACACGATTTTTAATAATTTTTATCAACCAGTCAACAATCTCTTCAGAAAGTTCTGTTTTAAATATTACTACAACATCACAATCTGTAGATGGTACGGTTGACAAACGTCGCCACTTTTGTGTACGATTTATAACATTTCTGCTTGTTTGAGTTACTTGTTTTTGTAAATCAGCTAACTTCTCTATAACGTAAAAGATAAAAAGAAAATCGCCCGTCAAGATGCAGGGTTGATTAGAAGAAATGAGACATAAAGAGTTATTGGAAGAGAGAAAGTTATTTGTATGTTAATTCAGGAACTTTGATCCAAAGGTTAATAAATGGAATGGATATCATTCGAAAGGCAATTTTTTTCACAATTTAAATGCAGCCAAACATTTACTAAGAAATTTTAAGGATAAGGAGTGTATTCAAATAATACTTGGAGATATACATTATTGATGGGAATCAGGAATTTGACGTTTCAGTCCAAGCACTCCAGCCTTTGAACTATTGACCGATAGCACCAGGAGTTTTATTTTAAAGGATCAACTTCACTAGCATATGGCCTACCTTCCACATATTTCTTTCCATTTTCGACATACCCTTTTATTTTGATGCCAGTTATCTGAATTGTTAATACATTAAAATAACATTTCAATTTAAAAGCACCAACGTGAAGAACAAGATACGACAGTAAGTCATAAAAAACTAGTCATATCTAATAGAATAAAAAGTCATATAAATGACCACAAAAGTAGGCGAATGAAACTAAAGGAAATTTTTAAATTCAGAGAAATACTGCTAATTAACGCAGCTGCATATATTTCCAAAGCTTCATGCTTCTTTTTATGTTCAAAATAACTTGGCGACAAACATAATGGATCTGTAGCAAATAGTTTTGAAAGGCTGCATAATAAAGACAATGATCTAGGAGGAAGAAAGTGTGGAAACCACAAATGAAAGGTTATACCTTGGAATTTCTATTGAGATGGCCTAAGTAAAACAAAAGGTTAGAAATTAGACGAGGAAAGCAGATATTAAAGGAAGAAGGTAGAGGATTAAGAGCTGCTGATGGTTTAGTAGTATAAAGATAGTATGAGAAATATTTATTGTCTCAGTACAAAATGAGCGAGCAAAGTGCTTCGGGAGTTATCAATTCTATCACAAACAACTGAATACCAGTAGCTAAATTGATTCACTCGAAGATGGACGCCTTAAATCAGCACATGGAGAGGGTAGTTAGACGAAAAGGAAGGGGGATGGATAGCCCAACGTGATCCCTTTTAGTGGTCCTTAATCTGACTCCCGTTGGATTGCATGCTCATTTTACTGAAATATACATATCGCTTATACTCGTATATAACCACTGACCACCGACCGTTGGTGAAGAACAGAGTTAAATAAGTCAAATACTAGGATGGATTTTTGAATATGTATATTTCGTACAGTCGTTGATCGGTGAGAGAAGCAAAGCAAAATGACATACGGTGGAGAAAGCATATGAACCAACTCAATTTAATCAAGCCTTAATCGATATAGTCGGGTAAAAATAAGCTACAGACATATGATGAGTAGGATGAGATGTGAACACACGCTCACACAAAAACAGTCAAGGTTGATAAGCGAATTGTTAGCAAGGCCAAAATGTGACTCAGAAAGAATGAATAGATTGGCCTGTCCGGGAGCGAGAATAAGCTGTGAGGGCTTAACATAGCAACCGACACTATATAAGGACGATCTTGGACTGTTGATCATTAGTCTTGTGTTCCTCCTCTTCGTTCGGGGCTAGTTAGCGTTGGACCAACCGTCAAACACAGAGTAATAGTCTGCTCGTCCCCGTTGCATATCGATTGCTTAAGGTTGTCTATGAGTAATAGCCGGTGATAAGACATAACAATCTCATTACGACTTCAAACAAGTTTATTTGAAATATGTCACGAAACTGGGTAATAAACTTACTGTGACATTCGTCTAGAATTGTCATTTTTCAGAGATTCACCTTGGAATGCAGCATATCAGACGGTTTATTGTTGTCACCCTATGTAACAGATTGCGAAGTATAGAAAGAAAATAAAATAGCACCAGTCGCAATAACAATATTAGACTTATAGATAATTAGATGATAAACATTTTAGGTAGAAACAGGATTTCAATATGTAAACAACAACACCGTAAGGACGACAAGTACACTAATCCGAAAATAGAAATTATCACACACATCACCATGATGAGTGAAAATAAATCAGTCTGTGTAGTAATGCAATGGTTCAAATTATCATGCCACAGACTGGCACAAAGGTAAGTAACGAAATACAAAAGTGGCAAACCATCTGCAGCGCATTTCTGCTATACATCTATGTATATGTCAGAGCTAACATAAACTAGTTGGCTAGCGCTGGTCATTGAGATATTAGACATACTTTTCCTCATAATTATACATCCAAATAACTTGTGATTCGCAACTTACGACATGATCATGGGGTACAAAAATTCTACGATCAGCTGAGTATACAACATTTAGTATAAACTTATTTGTTGAATTGGTATAAAAAAACATCTTCCGTATTTGGTGATGGAATGGCAACATCCATAAAATGGCCTGCAGAAACGACTACCATGGCCTTACTAACTACAGGCAGACTTCCGTGTATTTTGTAGTTCGAACCTCCTGACACTTCTGTAAAGACAACATGTTTGATGTGATTACGATGGGACTAATAAATATAATATCCTGTAAAAGAGTATAACTATACGTTCTTGAATATTTTGATCAAATGAAATACGAATACATCTTATAAGAATAGCGATATATATATCACTGTATAAATGTCAAGCATAATCAAATACAGGCATACAGAAACAAACCAACTGGACCCAAGTTACAACTATATTTGAAAAACTGCCAAGGTCGATTTTAAAACGAGGTTTTGTAAGCTACTTATTCAAACTTTCAGTCTTCAGTAATAAGGATAGAAGGTCTAGTGACCTATTTTAATCCTTGCAGTTTGTTACACTGTGGAGGTCCAATCTCGTCTTGAATATATCAACAGAAGGTGCTGATATTACGTGTTCTGGTAGAGAATTCCAGTAATTCACTACTCGGTGCGAGAAACGAAACTCCAGACGTAGACGATTTGATCTCGGTTTTTGGACTTTCTTTGAATGTCCTCTCAAATGCTCAGCCTTAGACGGGAGGAAAAGATAGGACATGTTAGTACCAAGGTCATCGTTCAGGATACGATATGCCAATATTAGATCACCCCGTATTCGCCGGTAAGATAACGGAAATAAGTTGAGGTGTCTCAGTCTGTCTTCATAAGATAGGCTAGATAAGCCTTTTACCATTTTTGTCCCGCGGCGTTGGACTCGTTCCAACATATCCGCCTCATATTTGAAACAAGGACTCGCTGCTTGAATCCCATATTCCAAATGTGGCCGTACGAAAGTTGGGTATAATAATCTAAACATTTCCCATCCAGATACCGGAAAGATCTACGAATAGACCATAATGCCCTATAGCCTTTTGCAGCAGCAGCCTTACAGTGACTGCTTGTTTTGAGATCATTACTTAGTATGACTCCTAAATCTTTATAGTTTCTTACTTTGAGCAACACTAGTCCACATATTGTGTAGTGATACGAATCATCGTAGTTATTTAATTGCATCACAACACTTTTATTAGGGTTTACTTCTAGTGACCACCCATTCATCCATGCAACTAGTGAGTTAAGATCTTCCTGTAAAACTATTCTGTCTGACATACTATATATGGGTCTCCAAATCTTAATGTCGTCGGCGAATAGTAGGACGGATGACTTAGCTATAGCTGGTAATTCATTTATATAAAGTAAAAAGAGAAGAGGGCCTAAAATCGTGCCTTGGGGGACGCCACTTTTTACTGGTTCCCACGATGAGAGAGCCCCATTTACTCTTACCCGTTGTCTCCTTTCATGAAGAAAGTCACTTAGCCAGTCTATGACTGCAAAATGAATTCCAAAACTTTCTAGTTTCAATTTAAGACCAGAATGGGAAACCTTATCAAAGGCTTTACTTAGATCTATGAAAATGACATCTACAGGAATATTGCGATCTTTTGCCTCAGCCCAATCTTCTCTTGCAATGAGAAGATTTGTCAAACATGATAGACCTTTTCGAAAACCATGTTGTTCCTTTGACAAAAGATCATGTCTTTCCACGTAGTTTATAACAGCCATCCTAATAATTTTTTCCATTAGTTTTACAACTGCACTAGTTAAGCTGACGGGTCGATAGTTACTAACTAAATCCCTACCCCCAGTCTTATACACCGGACTGATTATTGCGTCCTTCCAGTCTCTGGGCAGTCTGGACTGCCGTAGGGACATATCGAAACAGCATCGCTAAGGGTTCAGCAATAACATCTGAGAGGGCTTTCATAATCTGAGGATGAATATCATCAGGACCACTAGACTTATCAGGTTTGAGATGCTGGAGTAGGCTTAAAACAGTTTCTTACTTAATAACTACAGGGTCCATCAACAAGTCGCCACAATCACAATGAATAGGTGATCGTTCCTCATTATTGGTAGAAAAAACTTTACTGAAATATTCCGAAAAAGCGGAAGCTTTTTCGGTATCATTTCTTGCCAAACTTAACGGATTTTCTTGTATCAAAAGTGATGGTATTCCATCACTTCTGTGAGTTCGCCTCTTTATATACGAGAATAACCGTTTTGGACTATGTTTGCAATCCCTAACCAATTGTTTTTCGTATGACCGTCTAGTTCTACTAATTAACGCTTTACAATTATTTCTAATCTTACGATAACTAGATCTGTACTGTTCTAAGCCAGTAGAGATGAACATGTTCCAGTGTTTTTTTCTACGCCTAAGGAGTTTCTTAACTTCTTTATTTATCCACGGTGGACTATTGTTCGGTCTACATGGCACCAAGTATGGTATAGACGGGGACGTGACTGCACTAAACTTGCCTTTAAATACAGACCACGCCTCATCAACTGATGAGCTAGTATCTACTGACCAATCTATCTTAGTAGCACAATCCTGAATTTCTGGTATGTTAGCTCTCCATATGTTTGGGCGAGGCTTAATCTGATCGTATATCATATCGCTAGCTCTAAACGTGAATGATAAAACAGCGTGATCGCTATTTACTAACGGGGGAAGAATATTTAGGTTGGCAATATCCTCAGTCTCATAGGTAATTACCAAGTCCAACAGAGAAGAACCTTGGTTTACACCAAAACGTGTAGGTTTGGATACATGTTGTACTAATGCATGTTCCATTACTGTTTCCAAGAGCATGCTATCAAATGAGTTTATAGAGCATTTCGTGGTCATCTCAGTCCAACTAATGTCAGGTGCATTAAAGTCTCCTAATATCAAGCATCTGTTATTTGCACTCCATAGCCGAATGTGCTCTAAAATAAAGTCATCAGCTAAGCAGATTGGGATGCGATAGATGACACCGAGTGCAAATGTACAACATCCGACAGTGAGTTCACAGCTAATGACTTCATTAGTTCCACTATCATGGGATTCGCAAACGGAGGAGCGGATATTTATACTATTGGCTATGTATAGAAGGACGCCACCTCCTTTCCTGCATCTATGTCTATCACTTCTTAAACAATGATATCCGGATAAGTCTGGGGTGATATCGAAGTCATGGACTAACCAAGTTTCCGTCACAGCTACAATGAGTGGCCTTAATTTGCCCACTAATGTTCCTAGCTCGTAGAATTTATGTTTTAGACTACGGGCGTTGGCATATAAAACTCCTAGGGGGAACGACCTATCCACACAGGCCTTGGTAGCATTCGCTTCCAAGACCTGACTATTCGAAAACCCACCAATCGGAGATTTTCTTCACCGTTTTGTCGACGGGTTTCTAGTTCAGCTAGTGCCGTCTTCCTTTTTATTCTATCTTCAAGAGACACATCCGGTCGCATTCGAATGTCAGAGTTGTCGTGACTTCGAGCGTTACTTAACAGAAGATTGCGTTGTTTCTCCGACCCTAAGATTACCTTAAGGAGTCTACACGGTCGGGGTAGAACACTGTCATCGGCTCTTTTACCTATTCTAACTAATTTTTTGATCTGAACACCTTTAGTGTTATCTGGTAATATGCTACGGATATATTCTCCGAGCCTCTCTAAGTCATGGGTGTGTCTAACCTTAGGATCTGGATCGTTAGACTCTGGCAAATTACTCACAATAATATTCGATGATATTAAATTCCTCTCAGTCGCACTAGGATGATGATCTGCCGTTCTATCAGAGTGCGATAATGCATTGAGTGACTCAGACTGTGAGTTCCTCAATGGCTTGTCAACCAAGTGTGCTTTATCATTAGCTTTTTTTCCTTTTCTTTTCCTCTTTACTGCGGTCCATTTTTGGTCATTCAGGACAGCTGCATTGGGACTATTGGGGACGGTGACGGTTTTATCCGGGTCCTCAATTTCTACTAAAGATACATGATTACTCATGTCAATACCATGTGGTGATTTACTCCTCGTTTGTTGTAACGGAAGTTTCACTTTGTCATTAATTAGAGTAGGTTGTTCAGTGCGTTTTGTAACAGCACTTATAACACTGACACAGTCTTCACTGTCAGTGCTTGCGTTACTAGCGCTCCCACTATCTTTCTTTTTACAGGCTAGAGCCAATAGGCTCATAGCCTCTTGAATTAATGTCGTCTTGTTAGTACAGCAGAACATACAAAGCCAGTGCGAGTTAGGCTTAGAACATCTTTTGTATGCAGCTGGACTGAGACGGGTACACATCTTGTGGTACCATTTTTTGCATTCATCGCACTGCATCCCTTCATCTACGGGGAATAAACAGTTCGGCTGTCCACATTTGAATGAACTACCAACCATTGTAATCAGATTAGGTTTAAAAAACAATATGATCACAATAATAGCACAATGTACATTTCAGACCTCAAACGTTATTATACAGAGATAGTACATTCATAACATCTTGACACTAACGCCCAAGTTGTACGACATAGTTTTTAGATATAAAAAGGTGTAATCTTCATTTTATTACTTTTGAGTCTATGATAAACTACGGTATGATTTTCAGATCAGATTAAATTTGTGTTGTAAGGACAGGTTCGTGATAATGAAAAGTTGTGCTCATATATTTTACATTATCAACTGAGAGATAAGAACATTGCTCAACTCAAAAGTTATCGAATAATTAATTATTTGGATAAATATCTTTAATCAGAGAACTCCTCATATTTGGTCGCTAATTAAACAAAGGATTTAGACTCATTGTAGCTGTAAATAATTATTCAAAATCAATAACTCATTGAGTGTCCGAAATTGGATGCTGACCACATTGTTTTAAGTGAACTTGTTCAACTGAAGGCTTTCGGTCATGCATCCGTACCAGATCACGTTACGACACAGAGTGGGACACAGCTCCCATGTTCACTAGCAAGATTAGAGCAAACGCTTATCGATATATTGATAACGCGTCAAATATATCTTTCCAATCTCTTCGCATCTGACTTCTGATTTTAACCCACTGGAGGAAGATTCGAATATGGAGGGTGTTACTGGTTTAGAGTTGCAAAACTACAATACTGGTCGTATCTTCATCATCATAGATTTCAAATTCGTGTAATAAGGACAGAAGAACTATGGCTTATGTTATTCCTTTTCCAGTATGCTTCTGTCAGTGTCTAGTAATTTCTTGAACGGGTCAATTGAAGTTGCCAACACCACTGCTTCGCGTAACATGTTCCTATAACTGATCACTCTATGTGTAAACCTGTGTACCACGAGTGTTTTGATCGTGCTTGTCTTTTCTACTTGCTTACTAAGGTTGTGCATACTTTGGTGAACATAGTAATATCTAACTCGGTGAATGTCCTCCTAAAGCCCTCCTAAAGCGTTCTAAACCCTTGAGCTGCAGTCTACAGGCTGTGGTCAAAAGACCATGACTCACTGTCATCCCAAGATCCTTGTCAGACCGCACCACGGGTACGGGCACTTCCCCAATGCCGTACCTATTTATCTTTGTATCACCAAAGTGCATGTAGACACATCATATACTCTTGAGACCAGTTAATCACAATATTTAAATCTGAAGTGCGCATGCATCTGTCTCCAATTATTTATCGCCAGATTTTTATATAATCAGTGTATAGTAACACTGGGGACTCAACTATAATTAGGAGATCCTTTACACACAGTATAAAGAGTAAAGGACCTATGACAGAGCATTGAAGTAGTCCACTGAGTACTAGTTTCCAGGATGAGCATTTGGAATTTATTCTTACCAAGAAATCTTTAGTCTTTTTAGGGGAAGTCAGACAAATCCTTGACTTTCCAGCTTCAAGAGTAATCTATTTTTCGGTACCTTATCAAACGCTTTTCTGAAGTCTACGTAGACAACCTTCACTGAATTTCCATTATCCAGAGCCTTTGTCCATTTCTCTCTTGCTGTAAGAAGGCTTGTTGCACAGGATGAACCTTTCCTCAAACTATGTTGCTGGTTATTTGGCAAGTTGTTGGTTTCCAAAAATATCATTATGGTCTTCTTCATTATTCTTTCCAGTATTTTGACTGCAATACTGGAGAGGCTGACATGTCTGTAGTTTGGTGGAAGTTGTCTTGGTCCTGTTTTATGTATTGGAGTGACGATTGGATCCTTCCACTCAGTAGGTAACACATCTTGACCAAGTGACATGTTGAATCTCACAGTGGGGCTGCAATATGTTGTGCAATTGGTCTCAGGATTTTGAGGTATAGTTCATCCGGTCCTGTTGGTTTTTCCGGACTTTAAGTGCTAAGGGTCTATAGTACATCTTCTAGATCAAAGTGCACGGTGAGCAGACGGTTTGTTGACCTCGTGTCTTGGTCTAGTTCTTCATCTAGGAGAGACCATTGAACAAAAACTGCTTCGAGATAGTTTGCCATAGCCTCGTTTACGATCCACTACCTTCCATAATTAAGTTAGGAATCCAGTGCTGCGCCCTTGCTCATTAATTTATGTACGCGAATAGTCTCTTAGGCTGCTTGATTACAGGTGGTGTCAACTACACTTCATGTTGCCTCTGGGCATCCCAGATTTTAATTATACACTTATTTCTTATCGACCTGTAACGTTCCATATTATTATTATTATTCACAAACACCTTATGGGTACATAAGTGCTGTGAAGAAACCATTTCGGGTTTCTTCAAAAATGCAATAATACACAATTTTCAATAATGTTAACAATACATATGCCATGTTTGAGAAAGGAAGGAAAAGGAAAATAAAATATTAATAATAGAATAGTAATAATAAATGAGGTTCTGTGTAATTAGCAAGAATTTTGAATTGATTTTGAAGGAGGAAAGGAAGAAACTAAGGAAATAGAAATAAAGGAGACGCGGGAGACGTAAATATCTTAACGCAGAACAAGAATAAACAACTATGTATGTATAGCAAAAACGAGTAATAAAAATAAAATAAAACAGAATAAATTAATAAGTAAATAACTTATTATTGCGGTAAGATATGACGTTAGAATAAGTGTTTGTGCGAGCACAGTCATAGTTTTGGGTGATGCTCTGAAAGTTTTAATTAAGTGCAAAAGATAATCAATGTGTATGAGGTGTATATACATAGTGAAGATAAAAAGAGACTGATAAGTTTTAATTCAGCGTAACACAAGTTATTGCCTTAATCCAACGCTTCGTAATGTTAAGATTAATATTTGTTTAGAAGGAAAAAAAGGAGAGAGTAAAGAAATGAACACATAGTGAAAGGGTTCAACCATGATCATAATAGTGTAATGGATATAGACTTTTGAGATGAACGAATAATTTTAAAATAATAATAACAATAGTGACAATAATAATAAACCTTTACTGCACTCGGATAAATACGTGTAGAATTATGTAACAGTATACAGAGTGAAACCGGGTTGTAGTATAAACATTAGCGCAATAATAATAATTTAGAATGATGCTATCATAGTCATAATTAATTGCAAGAATAATTAAATATAAATTTTTATATGTTATATGTTGTGAATATTTTGAAAAAAATTGCTTAAGTGGAACATAGGGGTTTTTTGTTTTTAATTGTAGACTTTGGATAAAATATGTTTAGAAGGACAAGAAGAGATGAAATGAATATCTAATGTGTCGAAAGACCAAACTTGCTGTTCCAAAGCTGGTGGCAGAGTTCCAACATTTCTCCTCCTTTTAAGTAAACATCGAATATCCCGGCCTATCCGTCCGTGGCCGTGCTCCTACTTCGTTGGGAATGTCCAGGGTATATACGGTTGAGTTATACGATTGTATAACTGCCTGAAATTAGTCCATAACCCTGAGCCAATTATCCAGTTTTCAGCCAACACTGCAGAGTTTGTTGCCTCCATATCTGCCTTTCGTATGTTGGGACGAGCCAGAGCAACATTTTGACAGGCCATCTCAGTCATGAACATCAATAAGATGGCCGCATGACCACCTCTCCTAGAAGTAAGATGAAAGTCATTTGACCGACGTCATCACCGTGTGTGAAGACCAAGTTCAAGAGAGACGATGAGCTTCGTGAGTAATATCTGGTGGATCTCATAGGGAAATTTAATCCAACGAGGATTCTAGCCAATGTAATGGATGGTGTTACCTATCCTTATTTTGAAGTGACAGGCAAGAAATTAAATCATCCGTTACTTAAGTGAATTTAGCAACTTAATGACCACTCTAGCTTTAAGGGTTGATAGTAAAATGCCAAGTGGCTTACTTTATTCTTATTTTTGTAGCACTATGAAGGTAAAATATTCCTTTGAACTTATCAGCAGGTCTCGAAATCACTCTGTAGCGGTTCATATCTAACAAAAAGGCGACTTATGTACTGTGGAAGCACTTAGAGTAGTGTGTGAAAGCTGTAGGAGATAACATAATAAAAAGGCGAATCGACAATTCAGCAAGCGAATACACTACACTTACATTTTGTGCAGAAAGCAATGGGTAACAATCGGTAATAACGCAAGCTTCAGATTAAAGTAATCTTGTAATTTAAACTACAGGCTGATTTTTCAACTAGCTACAGGCGTGGCTTTCTAAAAATTGCAATGTTCCATCGCTCCACGAGGAATCCGTATTTCTTTGAATTTGTCGTCCTGAAAGGCTTTTATTTACTGTAAGTTCTGAATCCAATAACCAACACCGTTAATAAAGAAATTCTACCTAAAATGTATTCGTATAAGTCCCCGAATGTGATATCATACGTATTAGACTTTATTTCCAACGATCGTCGATTGTTTGTCCTTTTCTATGCGACAAGAACCTTTTAGAATCGAAGAAAATTCACTTAGCTATCTGTGAATGTTGATTTTTATGTTTTGTATTTGAAAATGATATCAAAAATCCGTCAGACTATTCAGTGGTTTTAAATTAAAACATATTAATTCTGAAGGAGGATCTTTGAATGAATATGTTATGGATTTCAAAGGTCTTGGCTACTATGAGTCATCTGAGCTGAGTTTTCAATTCTGATATAGAAAATTGTAGAACGGTTCGTTAGTAAATGTCACCAAATAGAACCATCATTCAAATGAAGAATATGAAGAGACTATCAAAAAGTTCAGAACGTTTTCGCTGCATTTGCTTTTTAAAATGCAAGTAATCGTGTTTTCACTTTAATACTTCACGTGAACGAGATCAAAACCACACTTGGTAAACTGTAGCTTCATGTAGTTCTGTTCAAGTTCAAAATTATGACGGACATTACATCTAATTTTTTTAGCTTTTCTTGGCGCCTGCTAAGAATTCAGTGTTTCTATCTTTCCAATCGTAGGCCGCTGAGTTTTATATTTTGATAACTCGAGTACGGCGTACTATAAACAATGAGTAGCGCAGTCTCTTCTTTATTTAAAAGTGGGATTCGGTGCGATAATTGCACGTCATGTTACAAAGTGACATGTATCTTTAATAAGAAAATATGTGGTTTCTTTGAATCTAATAAAATCCACCACGAGTTGATACGATTAAGTTTATGTAAGTAAACATCAGAAAGTTGAATAAGTATAAGCATACCTGAAAATGGCCTAAAAAATTACTTCTGTGGTGCCAGACGAATATTAAATTCTTAAAAAATATTTATTGTATGCAATTTAGTACACCAGATATGAGCTCACTTTTTGGTTCAATATTAGCTCACTTCGTTCCGACCGAATCAGACAATAAGTCACATTGTTGTTACACTGATTACACTTTCATCATTGTCGATCAGAGCATTAGTAAAGAACTCCCAGTTCAGCTTTACAATGTATACTATGTAATCGATTTCATTAGTTTAGACGAGTGTGATGGGAAATTTATTTTCCTTGACATTTTATCAAGTTAGTGAATAGACGGTTTATTTATCAGAAGAAGGAATAAGATATATTATTTTGTAAGTCTCAACATCCATAATTTTATAGTTTTACATTCATTCGCTTCAAAAATATCTAGTTAGGTGCCCTAAGAACAGAACAAAAATATCTTAGATGACTTCATTAAGAAATTGAAGTTCCTTATTCAACATCTAACGGATTATGGTACCTACTGAATTTTCAAAGAACCATATGTAGAATCGATTTTTCGCACGCTGCTGGGAAAATATGAAGAAAATCTCTGTGTCTGTTGCTTCTTATAACTAGTCCTTCGAAATACTGAGTTGGTTGGTTTACTGTGGGTCATCGATGTGACACTGTCATATCTTCCTTGACGATTCAAATTATGTAAATTTTAGTTCTACTTATAATCACTTAATGGTTTATAAAATGCTTCGAAATGTTGGACGTTTATTTTGATACTTTCCTGATAGAAGATGTTCAAGTTTGGTAGATGCGGATTCAAATAAAGTGTACGATGAGTTGCTGAAGAAATCATACCTTCTACCCGAAAATGGGCATAATATTGTGATTATTCAACCGCATATAAAAGGTGCATTGTACAAGAGGATCAACAACAAGTTTCCGTATTTACCTAAAAGTGATCCTAATGTAGACGAATCTATCGCTCTTGTAGATTCATTAGGATTTTCGACTACCGTTGGTGTGATATTTTGCAATATAAAAGCCGCCAACACTAATAGAGGATCGTTTTTTAATAAAGGTATATGGCAAAATGTATCAGATTCTGTAATTGCTTATCGTGATGGGAAACAGTCTGTTCAGACTGCTGATACACTTCTTAACGAAGAAAATAACGCATTCTCTGATCATATCGTCAAAAAGTGAGCAACAGCAGTCCTCGTAAATTGGCCTCGTTTAACGACACTACAACTGGCAATTATGCAACAGGCCTGGCTAATACCTGTTTATGATCGTTACACTTTCGTCGTTCAACTTTTTAGTCTTCGATCTCGTACTCCAGAAGCAAAACTTCAAGCAAAGTTAGCTGAAATCAGATTGCTTCGAGCTCGTATTCCAGCATTTTTTGAAACACCTAATATGATTAAATGTTTGATTGATAGATCTGATTTCGCTACAAAGGAACGTTTACTACAAATACTTAATCAAACAGAAGCTAGTCTTTTAAATCAATTGGAAAAAATTTCCAAACAACGTATTCATCATAGGCGTAATCATAGACGAGATATGGAGAAACATCATTTACCTCTAGTGGAGTTATCTAGGGAAGTGTATTAGGTCCACTCTTGTTTCTTATGTATATAAACGATAAATGTATAATCATAAAATTTGGGAAACCATACGTATGTGTTGATGATCTCAAAATAGTATACAGCTATAAGCTCGAGGCTCAAACTGAAAGTGTATTCGTGATTCGAAATAATCTCAATAACCTAACCATCTGGAGCGAAAAATGGCAATTACCATTTAACCTCAACAAGTGCGGGATCATGCATTTTGGAAAGCATCCCGATGAGCTACGACTTTACTTGGACAGAAGTAAAGTCCAAAAACTTAAATCAGTACACGATCTAGGAATTAATTACACAGGAGGCCTAAACATTGAAGAACATGCCTCCGTTATTATTTCTAGAGCAAGACGGCTAATTGGTTTCATAACGAAAAATTTCTTCCCAACAGAGGCTTGGCTTACCCTTTACAAAATATGTGTACGAACTTCCCTTGAATACTGCTCTTTCAACTTCTCTAATATGAATACCACAGACAAAATAGGAGTTGAAGATGTGTTATGATTTTGACCTAGACTGTAGCCAATTGTTATGACTTGATCAAGGTCGTCGTTGATTCGTTATGACCTTACGAATTTAACAAGGACGTAATTCTCGTAAATGATCCACCAATAGAATATGCCTTCTACGACCTTCACACTGTGACAATGACGTTCGATTAATATGAGTAATCTAGCGTCCTTATTGGTCCTTATCCGCCTACCCGTCCACTTGAGTCCAGAACACCAATAGCAGCTGCTGTAATGCGAATCGTTTATTTCAAGCATACTTTATCTATATACCAGACAGGCAGACCACACCACACCATAAAAATAGAAAATAATATTTGTACAAAACCAGGCCAAATGAAGCTGTAAGCGTGGGAGACAATAATCAATAAAACTGAGCATAACGTAGGGACAGTAAATCATATAGTAATAATCAATAGGTCAAAATGAAGCTAGTAATAAGATGAATATAGATATAGATAATCCAGTTACTGAATAGTTATACCATAGGAATATAAATAGATTAATAGTCTAATAAGAGGTCCCGTAAGTTATCAGTACTTACTTTTTCCTAGTATATAACACCTCCCCTTTTTTGAAGCATCATGGATAATAGCGATCCTTGGGATTTATTTTTATGCGATTAGGTTTCCGCCTGATGCGCTGCGACCGCCTTGGGAGTGTTGTACACGTCTTCTTTTTATTCGGGTCCTTTTTAATTTCATTATCCGACTCGGTTAATATATTTAATGGTATATCATGCTTTCTATCACTTTCTATCTCCCACTCCTGTCTGGTCGGCTGTATCTGGTTTGCATGTCGTACCCATATCTTTTGTCCAACTTTCACTTCATAAATAACTTTCCCTTTTCTTCGGACTATGATGCCAAATTTCCAGGTTGGCTTTACTCCCTGGAAATCTCTTGCCATTACTGCTTGTCCTACATTAAACCTTCTGGGTAAGGCACCATGCCTTTTGTTAAATTGCAGTTCCATTCGTTTATTCTTGCATTGAATGACTTCAGGTTTTGGCTTCATTTGTTCCATAGGTATTCTAATCTTTCTTCCAAAAATTACTTCTGCCGGGCTTTCCTGATTATTTGTTGCTGGGTTGGGAGTTGCGCGGTAGCTTAGTAAAAATCGTTGAATTATATCTTCTATTTCTCCTTCCCCTTCGGCTTTAAGCAATGCTCTTTTAAAAGTGTCCACGAACCTTTCGACTAAGCCGTTAGACTGTGGATGGTATGGGGGTGTCTTGATATGCCTAATGGCATTGGCAATGCAGAACCTCGAAAATTCAGCAGGGGTAAACTGTGGTCCATTGTCTGACACCAATATATCTGGACACCCAAAACAACTGAATACTTGCCTCAGTTTCTTCACTGTAGCTTGTGTTGAGACATATTTCATATAGTGGACTTCTGGCCACTTAGAGAAAGCATCAATGATTATCAAGAACTGTTTACCGTGTATAGGACCAGCAAAATCTACATGAACTCTTGACCACGGATTTGATGGTGTTCCCCAACTCTGCATTTCGGTCTTGCGAGGGGCTTTCATGGCTTTTGCACATGCTGAACATTTTGCAACATATTCTTCAATCTGCGCATCAATATTCGGCCAATATACATAACCGCGTGCAAGTGCTTTCATCCGCGCTACCCCTGGGTGTGCAGCGTGCAGTTCTAACATCACCTTCCGGCGTAGGCTTGTGGGTACAATAACTCGATTTCCAAACATTAGGCACCCGTCCACGAGCGATAAGGAATTTCGTCGGTGAGCATACTGTTCAATGTTTTTGTTGTCTATATGAGAAGGCCAACCATGTTCAAGGTAACTTATAATCCGTTTCAGCTCGCCATCTTCTTGAGTGTAGCGTCTAATATCTTCAGCGGATAATGGTGTTGCTTTTATAGCAACTTGTAGTATTTGGTGGATATCTTCTTCCAATGATATCGTTGCAATAATAGAATCTTCGCTTTCCTGCTTCTGATTCGCAATTAATCGAGATAAAACATCAGCTTGTCCAAACTTTTCAGTTGATTTATATAGAATTCGGAAATCATAAGCAAGTAGTGTAATAGCCCAGCGTTGTAATCGATTGGCTGTATATGCAGGAATACCTGACTTCGATCCAAATATAGATAAAAGCGCCTTGTGATCTGTTAGAAGAGTAAATCGACGTCCATAAATCATTTTATGAAATTTCTTTACTGCAAAAACTATAGCTAATCCTTCTTTTTCAATTTGACTATATTTTCGTTCAGCTGGGTTAAGTGTTCGGGATACATGAGCAATCGGCTTTTCTTTACCATCAGGAAAACGATGGCTGATAACAGCCCCAATTCCATAGTTGGAAGCATCAGCGGCAACAATTATTTCAAGCTTAGGATTGTAATGAGTCAACAATAATTTAGAAGATAAAATCCTTTTTATTTCGTCGAAAGAATATTGGCATTCTTTTGTCCAGTACCATTTTGCATTAGCCATCAAAAGTTGATTTAACGGGTGTCTCAATTTATACATCTGGGGTACGAACATACTATAATATCCAATCATCCCCAAGAATGAACGGAGAGTTGTAACATCAGTTGGTGTGGGCATATTTTTGATGGCATTTATATTATCTGGATCTGGCCGGCGACCATCTTTATCAAATATATATCCAAGATATTTAACAGAATCTAGCATAAATTGACACTTTTCTTTTTGTAATTGAAAACCAGCTTGCGATATTCTATTAAACACTACGTCTAACCGACTCATTAGTTCGTGAGCAGAAGAGGCAACAACTATAATATCGTCCAAATAAACTGCTACACCTTCAAGGTTAGACAACATGGTATCCATAATCTGTTGGAAAATTGCTGGAGCTGGTTTTACGCCAAAAGGTAATCGGCTAAACTGGTAAAGTCCACGGTGGGTATTAATGGTTAATAACTCCCTCGAATCTTCGTCAACTTCTACTTGTAAGTAAGCTTCAGATAGATCGAGTTTGGAAAAGTAACGTCCACCGTTTAGTTTAATAAATAAATCTTCTGGCAAGGGAAGTGGATATGAGTGATTTTGTAAAGCATCGTTTAATCCTGTTGAAAAGTCTGCACACAAGCGAATAGTTCCGTTTGCTTTCTGCACTACTACTATTGGTGCTGCCCATGCTGAATAATTAACCGGTTGTATTACACCCAGTTTCTCTAATCGATCTAACTCCTTGTCAACTTTATCGGTGGCTGCATACGGGACTTGGCGTTTTGGACAAAGAACAGGTTTTACATCCTGTCGTAAATATAACTTTGCCTTTCCAATGGTACAGCATCCCAATTTGTTCTGGAACAACTTCTTGTGTTTCTGTAAGAGGTCTTCTATCGTTATGGCTTTCTTAGCTACATGAACCATGGGTAGATCTCTGGGACTATTTGTGCACTTCATCATGCATATTTCACTCAATGGTACATCCCATAGGTTTAGTTTATCTATCCAATCTATTCCAATAAGGTCTAAGTCATGTCTGTTCGTTAAATAACAATTCCCTGTGAAGTAGTTATCTCGAAATTCAACAGAGCATTTTATAATTCCAACAAGCTTTAATATATCTCCGGATGCATTTCGTGCAGTATGCTCAGTAGGTAATACTTGTGGACAACCAATTAAATTCCATGTTCGTTTAGAGATCAATGTGATATCTGACGCTGTATCCAATTGTAATCGGACATGAACACCATTAACCAATAATTCCACATACCTTCTTTTATCTGCCATACTTAAAGCTCGTGTAGAATATATACTGTTAATATATTTGTTTTGAAACTGGTGAGGACGCTTCGTAGGCTTTGATCTCAAATTTTCTCTTGTCCGGCAAACTGATTCTTTATGACCAAGTTTATTGCACACCGTGCATCTATGATTTCTAAATCTGCAAAATCTTGAAAAATGCCACGCGCCGCAATACCAACATTTCGTTGAAGGTTTAGGAATTTTTGTGTGATATTTATAACTTTTGACACTCTGTTGTCGTTGACTCGTCTTAATAGCATGGACCGAATGATTAGATGGTGCAGCACTTTTGGTTTCTAACATAGCCGAATCCTGTTTCAAGTTTATTAATCGTTGACACTCACCAGTAATGGTTTGTAGCGTCATTTCTTCGTCATGTTCCATACGAGATAATAACTTCATGCGAACATCAGCATCGCTGGGAGAATTCAGACCAGAAATAAATAATAAGCATTTAAATTGATCACTGGTTAACACATTTAATTTAAATCGTTCCGCTTGTAAATTTACTCTTCCGGCATACGTAGTATAATCCTCATCAGCTTCTCTAGTCAGTTGTAGACAATTATACCGGATACGAAATAGAGACATCTGTTCAGAAAACATTTTATTTAAAATGTTAACAGTTTCATCGAAACTAATCTCTCGTGGATGTTTGGGCAGGATATGGTTTTTATACTTCTGATGCTCGTTAGGACCAAGTTTCTGTAAGAGCAACCGGACTTTC